ATTGCATGAGATTTGGCAAATGTGCAGTCATGGTGACTAACATATGTATGCATCTTAACTTCCCAGCCGGTTCTTACATTGCCCCATTGCTACTTATTCAGGTGACAGCACATATTAATCATACTCAGAGATCTTAAGAACTGTGAGACACAGGGTCTTTTTTTAATATTTATTTATTTTATACATCTACTCATAGAACCTACAAGTCAGAAGAGGAGGGCATCAGATCTCATTATAGATGGTTGTGAGCCACAATGGGGTTGCTGGGAATTGAACTCAGGACCTCTGGAAGGGTAACCGGTGTTCTTAATCAAAGAGCCATCTCTCCAGCCCGAGACACAAGGTCTTAATTGACACTACTACTAAAATGTCATCATGGGCCTCTGTTGGAATTGTCGGAATGTTAACTGCAGTTCTACCTGGTCTTTCCCGGCATTCAAATCCAGCAAATAGTCTTACCATCACCACTGAGTCTATACCCATAACTGCCTACTTCTGTCTTTTGGAACAAAAATGTTCCAGTTCAGTTACTATTAGAGGGGTAATGTTTTTTTTTTTTTTTTTTTTTTTTTTTTGCATGGGTTCTCATGTGGCCTAGGCTAGCCTTGAACTCACTATGTAGCTAAGGATGACCTTGAACTTCTTATCTTTCTTCCTCTACCTCCCAAGAGTACCGGTATTAGAAAAGTGAACCATTGTGCCCCTGGTTGTACAGGGCTGGGGGGATGGATCCCAGGGCCTCATGTGTTGGGCAAGCACTCATCCTACTGAACTACATTCCTAGCTTCTAATAGAGGCATAATGGTTATTAGCAAAAGTCCAGATTTAACTTTGTAGGGCACTGCTCTTGAAGTCTCTGTGCATATACATGTAAATACATAGAAACCGAGTCATGCCTTTGTTTTGTCCTGCTGTACACAACTGAAGACTGGGTAGTTTACAAATAAATAGCAGAAACACATTTTCTCATAGCTCTGGGGTCCAAGTTCAAACTGAGGTGGCTGTATCTGGAGAGTTTTTGCTACACACACACACACACACACACTTTTTTTTTTTTCACTTTCTCACTTTTATTTATGACAAACACTCCCCCATGTCTTCTGGTCAAAAGTTCTTTGAGACAATTCCATCAGCCTTAGCCAGTAGGAGAATAGAATCATCGGACTCGCCCATCCTGCGAATGGCCCCGCAGATGGCATAGGTTTTAAACTGACCATTAAAGCGACCCGTGCACCTGTCAACCTCGGCCACATTCATCTGGATGGACGCGTGGTCCTTGGCGCCAATGATGCGGTTGCTCTCGGAGCATTTCCGCGGCACGTACAGATCCACGAACTCGCCGGCGTCGTTCTGCATGTTGAGACCGTGCCTGCTCTCTAGGCCAGCAGAGCGCAGAAAGGGCCACACACACCTTTTGGTTCATCTTATTTTTGAGACAGTTTTTTCGTGTATAGCCCTGACTGGCCTAGAATTTGCTATGTAGACCAGGCCGGCCTTGAACTCACAGAAAATCCACTTGTCTGTCCTCAGAGCTGGGATGAAAGGCATATGTCGTCACACCCAACTCTCCTTTGGCTTTAAAGACAGGGGTTTCATGGGGCTGCAGAGCTGGCTCGGCAGTTACCAGTAAGTAATGTTTTTGCATAGGATTAGTTTGGTTCCCAGCATCTATATTAGGCAGCTCAGAACTGCTTGCAATTGCATCCCCAGGGGACTGATGCATTCCTCTTACCCCTAAGGGAACCTTATTCACTTGTACAAACAAACACAGACATATAAGTATACACATAACTTAAAATAAAAATGAAATCCTTAAAGGCAGGGTCTCCTGTAGTCAAGGATATTCAAACTTGTTATATAGCTGAGAATGATGCTGAAGGCATTATCTTCTGGCCTCCAGCTCCCAAGTGTTAGGATCAAAGTGTGTGCCACCATGCCCTGTGGCTTCTTGCTGGTCATTTGGAAGATGGAAGAATAGGACACAGTGACTCCATTGCAACAAGCTCTTTTCATAGCACCGCTAGCTAGTCCATCCTTAGGAAATATTCCCACCTCAACACAGGGAAAGGTCCCTCTGCCACCGTTGTGTTGGGGACTAATACAGGAGTTTCCAGTGCTACATTCAAACCACAGCAACACCAGAATGTTATTTTGTAACCCACTTTTTCCACTCAGCAATGAGGCCTAGAATTGTTTCAATAGTGTGCTAGTTTCCTGTGGCCACTAACAAATTACAGAGAGCACTGACTAAAAGCAACAATCTTACTAAGTCAGAAGTCTGAAAATAGGCTTAATTGGACTAAAATTAAGTCCTTGGCAGGGTGGTAGTCCTTTTTGGAAGCTCCAGGGGGAGAGCTAGCTTCTGGAGATCCTCAGCCCTTGGCTCCTGGCTCTCTTCATCTGCAGAGCTAGCAGCCTTGGCTCAATTACCCTCAAGCTGCCAATCTCAGACTCCCCGACTTCCTCCCTTTTCTTTCCAAGACAGGGTTTCTCTGTGTAGCCCTGGCTATCCTGGAACTCACTTTGCAGACCAGGCTGGCCTTGAACTCAGAGATCTGCCTGCCTCTGCCTCCTGAATGCTGGGATCAAAGGCGTGTGACACCAACACCTCGCTCCCTGCTTCCACTTGCAAGGACCTCTGTGATGACACTGGGTCTAGCAGAGAATCCTGATAAGCTCCCTGTATTAGGCTGGTTGACTATTAACTTCCTTTTGTTGAGGAAATTAACCGTACACGGGATAAGGATATAGCTAGTTATTTATTAAAGGGAGGTCACTCACACAAGAAACTGATAACCAGATCGCACTCCGAGAATCAGTCTCAGCAGCACTGAACCCCTAAAAGAGGCCAAGTTCCCCTCTCCTCAGATCTTTATTCCCCATGCCCCATATGCACCTGTGGCCCCGCCCCAACAGGGGTGGTCAGCGCCAAGGTGCTTACAGATCTCTCCCTACATCCTTTTTTTTTCTTTTCTTTTTTCTTTTTTCCCTTTCTGTAATCGTAACTCTGCCTGTGACTCACCAACCACCTGAAAACTAGAATTGGTTGGTAGCCTTTGTGGCCTCTTCCCATGCCAACTCTGGCTCCCTATCTTGGTAACCTGTATTGACTTCTGTGCTCATCCTCCTGTCTCCTCTCTAGTGTTTGTGTTCATTTTAGTCATCTTTACCTTATGAAACATTGTTTCTGTAAGCACAGTATTAGTAAGACTCACTCCTACTGCTGCAAGAACCTGTAATGTGTATTGTATAATATCCCACTGTGACTTCAGAGTGTATTCTCATCTTATCCAGGGCTACTTGGATTGTGTTCAGGTTGTTCCTGAGAATAGCAGGTCAAAGTATCATCCTTGTGATTGCATAGGATGTTTCTTGAGCAAGTAGCCAAGAAATGGAATTGTTGAGCTGCACTGTGAAAGCTAGCAAGTAAGGCCATGCATGTTGTTTCTTCTTTCTTAGGCCAGGCTGGCCTCAAGCGCCCAGAGATCCCCCTGCCTCGGCTTCCAGTGCTGGGATTAAAGGCATGCCCAACCATACCTGGCTCCACGTTGTATTTTTTTTTTTTTTTTTTGGTTTTTCAAGACAGGGTTTCTCTGTGTAGATTTGGAGCCTATCCTGGCACTTGCTCTGGAAACCAGGCTGGTCTCGAACTCACAGAGATCTGCCTGCCCCTACCTCCCGAGTGCTGGGATTAAAGGCGTGGGCCACCAACGCCTGGCGTCCACGAGGTATCTTAAAGAACTCAAATGATCAAGAATGATGGCCCATGCCTGTGACCCCAGCACTGGGGAGGTGGAGGTAGAAGGATCAGAAGTTCAAGGTCATCTTCCATGACAGGGCTGCATGAGACCCTGTCTAAAAGAAAAGCCAATAAAATAAAAGACCTTAAATAAGCAGCCAATCGTGGTGGTTGTGCCTGTAATTTTTAGCATTCAGGGGGCAAAACAGGCAGATCTCTGCGAGTTCCAAGCTAGCCAAGGTTATACAGGCTCTGTACATAAAATATAATAAAGTGTATCCACTGTTTATGCCTATTGCTGTCACCTGAGTTTAGCCTAAAACCCCCAGGGAAGCCCTTAGGTATACCATAAGACATTCAGATTTGTGTGTGTATGTGTGGTTTTTTGAGATAGGGTTTCTCTGTGTAATAGTCCTAGCATCAGCTTTGTAGACCAGGCTAACCTCGAACTCACAAAGATCTGCCAGTCTCTGCCCCCCAAGTACTGGGATTAAAGGCGTTCACTACCACCATCTCCTGGCTGACATTCAAATTATATTTAAGAAGTTTCTGATGCTCACAAGTTTCAAATTTATCTACATATGACACATTCAAGACACATGTGGAGAGTGGAGAGATGGCTCAGCGGTTAAGAGCACTGGCTGCTCTCCCAGTGGACCAAGGTTCAATTCCCAGCACCCAGATAGCAGCTCACAGACATCTTTATCTCCAATTCCAGGGGACACCCTCACACAGACATACATGTAGGCAAAAGATAGCATGATGAGAACCAAATGATAGGGTTGGGTAAATAGCTCAGTCAACAAAGTGCTTGCTATGCACACATAAGTTCAGGTCTCCAGCACCCATGGAAGAAGCTATGCATGCTGACACATGCCTGTAATCACAGCTGTCAGGGAGGAGAAGTCAGGAGGGACCCAAAGTCATGCTCGTGAGCCAGTCCAACTTCAGTGAGAGAGCCACGAGGGCTCCAATATGGCTCAGTGGCTTTGACCAAATCCTCTTACAGAAGCAGAAGGCTACAGTTTAGTTCCCGGCATTCATGTCAAGCAGCTCACAACAGCCTGTAAGTTCAGTGCCAGAGGAACCGACACCCTCTTCTGACCGTCGTGAGTACCTGCATCCATGTACACATACCCACACTATACATATCATAAAAATAAATCTTTTATAAATAGAAGATGGAAAGAGATAAGACACTCAACTTGATAGCTAACTTCTACATGTGCAAGCACACCAGCATGAACATAAAACACACATGAAAAGAGCCAAAAAGTAAAATTTAATTTAAATATAGTACAGTGGTATATAATTCTTTTGCAGTATAAAAATAATTGTAAAAGTTTTTTTTTCATTTCTAAGTATACACTACAGATTTAAATAGTACATTGATGCTATAGACTGTACACATTACACATTCCCCAGCCTGGGGCCTTTCTCCCCTGGGTTGTCATCTGTAAGAGAACACAGCTACGAAGCCTGAAGCCCTGTCAAGTCAATCAGAAGCAATTATCCCTCCTTACAGAACTGCATGCGCTTAACTTTAACTAGCCTTCATGTTTCCGTCTCAATCCTGTAGATTAAAAACTTTAAAAAGTAATCTAAAACTCTGCTGTGGGGGAATAGACATCCTTCCCTCAAGACATGAAAATGTCAGGGTTCTGGGTAGTAAACTCAAAAAACCTCATAGGAAAGTACATCAGTGTAAATGAGTGTCTTTCAGGAATGAAGAACTAGACCTGAACTGCAGCTCATTGCAAGATGCCAGTAGCTCCCAGGAGTCGCATCTGCCCTCCCGCTATCACGCTTCCTTTAAAGTAAGGTTAGTTTTACAAGAATGATTTCACAGAACTACAGCAGGTTTGGCCACACCTGACCCAACTAATGTCCTTGACAGTGAGAACCAGCTACTCTTGAGAAAGTAGGGACAACAGAACAAGCAAACAGACACTCTGGCATATGCAAACGGTGCAGCTTTGTTTCCAGGAGCTCTGTTGGACTAGTATTGTGACTGGGACTCTGGACCAATCAGATCCGAGCCTACTGTAAAAGATGGCTCACTGCCTGCCATCTGAGCAGAGCTGAAGAACACCTTGGGGATGGGTGGAGGTGAAGGCTGTGTTCAGTGGCACCTCTCATGGCGTTGGCCACTCTCACTCTGGGCAGGCTTCCGGCTCCTTTCTGGTCAGCACCAGGCCACTTCATCGGGAGGCTGGGGCAGGAGGAAGTAGTGGTGCTTCTAGAAACTCCTCCACACCCTCCCCCATCCATTCTCTGCTCTATGAGGATGGGTCTGTGTGTTCTAGGTTGTGACACTGTGTACCTCAGATTCACAGAAGATTATAGAGCACAGAAACAAAGGTAATCTGATACAGAAAAAGATGTCTGCTTTCTGAAATTGGGACGGAAGTCTGGGAATACTTGGTTGTAGAAGAAAGAGGCTTAGGTAATGCCAGCTCAGAGACATGAGGCTGAGGTAATGGAGGTTAGCCATTAGGAGGTTCCTTCCAAGCACCCTCCTTTATCACTATCAATAAATCCCTATCATGTGTGTACACGGGGGCAATATAATATGCAGCACGGTGGTGGTGCACGCCTTTAATCTCAGCGCTCAGGAGGCAGAGACAGGCCGATCTCCAAGTTCGAGGCCAGTCTGGTCTACAGAGCGAGTTCCAGGAGAGCCAGGGCTACAGAGAGAAACCCTGTTTAAAATAACCAAAACAAACAAACAAAAAAAAACATGTACATATGTTTCATGAAAACCGGCCCTTTGTTCAAATTGCTGTTCATTCAGCTGATATATGAAGCTTTCCCTTCCTTTGCTAAAAATACAAGGCACTAGTGACTCTTGAGATTGGTACACCTGCAGAGATGGCACATTTTCCCTTTCCCTCATCTTTAAATGCCCTACCTTTAAAAACTCGTCTCACTGTAACAAGCTATAAGCAGCAGCTCACTTACTGAGAGAGTGATGCTCTAAGCCTACTCTCTACTGATGACTGCACAGTTTGGTAGAGGGTCTCACAGCTGTCCTTCGAATCACACAGCTGGAAAGACTTCTCCCAGGACTTGGAGATGTATTCTTTGTGGGTGGGCTAATGTACAAGATGACAGATGATCAAATGATAGTAATTTTTTAGTATAAAAATACTTGTCACTGCACCTAGGAGAAAATGTCCTGAAATACTAGCAGAAAAAGAAAAACAAAACTATAATCTACTCTTAAAAGCCAGTAAATTACAGAAGAATATTCTGAGTGATTTTGGAAGAAAGGCACCAGGCAAATCTAAAGTCCTTTCACCAGTAGATTCCATGAGGTGTCAGAACAGAGCAGGGAAATGGCTAAGCCACATGTACCAGCCACTCATCTTGATGGGCTAAGAACGAGGAAGGAAATGTCAGACGGTCCTGAATCACATATTGAAGTACAGGAAAACAGTTCCAACTTTATGATGGGGAAGCTGGTCCCTGGCCTAGGCCTTGGCTGTTTAGATAGGCACTCTGTTCTCCTTGGCCCACTTCTTCATGACCCTGATGATATACTCCACTTGGGTGTTTCCCGTGCTCCTCAGCAAGTGCAGCACTTCCCGGAGGGTCTCCCTGAGGAAGGAGTTTGAAAGAACACACTGTTATACTGTATCCAAGTGAGGCTCATGAATCACCCACTGAGAATAAGCCACTAGTTTTCTAAGCCATAGCAATGGGTGGCTTCTTAAACAGGGTTCAAATATACTAAGAATATAGATGAGAACAGCACTACGGGCTAAAATTGGGTGAATACCCAGCACTCACACTTGAATTAAAAAATGTTTTAACTTAAAAATTCAATTTGTGTATTGGCAGGTGTATGCACGTGCCTGAGGAGGACCGAAGAGGGTGTCAGATCCCTTTGGAGCTGAAGTTACAGGTGTTGGGGAGCCACCAGACATATGTGCTGGGATTGAAACTCCAGTCCTCATGACTGAGCAGCAAGTGTTCTTAATCACGAGCCAGCTCTAGCCCCAAATTCAAATTCATTATAATTAAGGCTTGGATTTTAGTTGAGGTAGGCTGAAGCTTCCCTGCTGTCTCATCAGAACTCTGGCAACTGCCTGTGGGTCGGCCCCTTATAGTCTTGTAGTCTATTCTTTTTGCTGTGAGGAACCTCCTGCACCTGACTCAGTGCTTTTATTTGGGAGGTAAATTTTGATAATTTGCTTGCAGAATTATTATATTTGCTACCCATATGCATTAAGCAATAAATATATTACATAGAGTTTTTAGAATACCGAATTAATGAATTAATTTTAGCCGAGGCTGGCCTTTCTGGACTTGAGCTCACAATTCTGCTTCAGGACCCCAAGTGCTAGGAATTCATTTTTGAGTATTTTAATTTTCATTCACATAGACCTATAAGCCTTTTATTTTATATAATCAAATACCTCAGCATTTCCTGGAACATAAGAAGGCAGAAGCAAAAAAGAATTATCAACCATGTCTACTGTATTCCTATCTATGACTCTGAGGCCTAAATTAGACAGCTTTTCAGAAATGTAAATAGCATTTGTTTATGGAAATGAGATTCATCTGGAGCCAGATGTACACCTTGCCCTGGATTTGGAGGCTTTTGTGTGCTTTGTGTCCTCAGCATGTATGATGTTACTGGAGGTTCTGTCTTACCTGGTCCCGTGGCCCTTGAACCCCAAACAAGCACACGGACCCTATCCTAGTTATTAAACTGTAGGCTGATGACTAGAACTTCCCATTTGCTAACTCTGTCTCAACCATTACCCCATTTCTATCAATCTATGTATTGCCATGAGGCTGTGGCTTACCAGGCAATGCCCTGGCATGTTGTTACTCCTTCGGCAGCATGGCGACTCCTTCTGGCAGGTTTTCTCTGCCTACCTTTCCCAGAATTCTTCTTGTCTCCTAAACCCGCCTATCTTCCTGTCTCACTGGCCAAACAGTGTTTTCATTAACCAATAAGAGAAACATATATACAGAAGGACAAACCCCATCAGTATGACTAATAGTCATTTGAGTCCATAAAATAAGACATTTTTGGAAGAAATCATCTTACAGGAAATATCGACATCTCAATGTTTCATCTTTACGGTTCCCACAGGCACCCTCTCACCAGTGGTGCCTCTGTCCTTCGGCTTACTTACTTGGGCTCTCTCCCAGCTAGAATCATCTGGAAAATGCCCACACAGGCACCTCTTTTGCCTTCCCAGTATTCGGGGTTGGGATCCAGCCTCTCTAGGACATCAAAAGCCTTGGCTGAATAGTAGAACTGGCCCATCTGCACAAAAGAAAGCATGGTGGTAGCATTGACATTTAGTCAAGAGGCAGAATGGAATAAAATATACAGAGTACAGAACAGAATAGAACAGGATGAAACAAATGCACAAAAAAAACATTTTGAGGTAGCAACTTAGGTACATTTCAATTCCTAGCCAAAATGAGAACCACAGTTTAAGTGCACAGGATTCTTTAAAGCCATACACCCTTACTTTCTGTGATAGAACAATTTGTCTACATATTGTTGAAGTATGCTGCTGCCATCAAGACATTTCTTATTTCTTCTAGTTCTATTCCAGTCTTTTGAGAAACTGAAGGTATTTTTCAAGTCTCCTCAATATATTACCCTAACCCGATCATCTTTTCCCAATTATCCTAAATGCTTAGAATGCCCAGGCAGTGACAATTCTAAGCACAAAATCTCCAAAGTCGTTTTGGCAGACATCTTTCGCAAAGACATGACACATTCCCTCGGCCTCATGACACATGCTGATCGCACCTGAGATGGCTCTGGCGTCTCCTAACTGCAGGGTGTTCCTCTTCACTCTTTGGTGTGGTTACTCTTCCTGCCTACTTCTCAGCCATTGGTCAGTTCCTTAAACCTACACTGCATTCTCAGCTTTATACTTCAGAGAAAGCACAGATAAGACCCTTCCTTTGCCCCGCCTTTCTTCCTATCTCACAAAACAAGTGCTCCTCTTCTCGGGGTTAACCTTTCTGTCTTCACATTTCTTTAAGATATGTAAAATAACACACATGTAGAGCAATGTGTGAAACATGCACAGCTTTTCTGTGTATGAATATAAGAGGAACAACTACCCAGGTCCACACAGTGTGAAAACAAGACCTTTAGCATATCACTTCCCAATGAAGCCTGCCTCTTCCTCACTCAGCAGCAACTGCTACTCCCACCTCTAGGCTCAATTCTTGCTTTCTTTATACTTTTGTCTTCTACCTCTACATCTTTTGAAACTATTTTTAAATTTTGTGTTGGGGGAGTAATGTGTGCTATAGCATGTGTGGAGGCAGAGGAAAACTTGTGGTATTCAGTTCTTCCCTTCCATGTGGGTTTGCGTGCTTAGAGGAAAGTAACTGCCTGCGAGAGGTCTCACGGCCCCTCTCTGCACCCTCTAAATGATGTAAGCAACAAGTCTGCCTCTCATAATTGTACCTACATGAAATACTTTTTTATTGTGTGTCTTCAATTTGATTCAAAGTTTTAACATTCATCTATATTATTATATATAGCACTAATTAGTTTTTTGTTTATCTTAGGTATTTTCTTTTTATGTTTTTATTTGTTTGTTTACCTGCACACATGTCATGGCAAACATGTGGAGGTCAAGGACAACCTGTGGGAATTGGTTCTCTCCTTCCATCATGTGCATTTCAGGGATCACACTCAGGCTGTCAGGCTTGGCAGCAGGTGCCTTGCCCAGAGAATGACCTCATTGGCCAAGTTGTCGTTTATTTTATGTATAGAGGTCTTTTGTCCACATTCATCTCTGTGGATGCCTGGTGCCCACGAATGTCAGAAGGAAGTATCAAACCCCGAGACTGAAGTTACAGATGGTTGTGAACACAGTGTGGCCGTAAATCAAACGTGGGACCTCTGAAGAGCAGCAGCGAGTGTCCTTAACTGCTGAGCGACTCTCCAGCCATTAGCATCCCCAGTTCTATGTTTTTTATTTTTATCTATGTGTGTAGCTTTTGAGTCTGTCCTGGAACTCTCTCTGGAGACCAGATAGCCCTCAAACTCACAGAGATCCGCCTGCCTCTGCTTCACGAGTGCGGGGATTAAAGGCATGCACCACCATCGCCCGGCCAAGGATGGTTTTTATATATGTTATAAAACACAAAACTGTTTCCTTTCTTTCTTCCTTCCTTTTTTTCTTTTCTTTCCTCCCTCCCTCATTCCTTTTTTTTTTTTGGTTTTTCAAGACAGGGTTTCTCTGTGTAGCTTTGGAGCCTGCCCTGGCACTCGCTTTGTAGATCAGACTGGCTTTGAACTCACAGAGATCCGCCTGCCTCTGCCTCCCGAGTATGGCTGAAACTGTTTTCTTTACTCAGCATAATGTATATAATGTTTCTTATTAATTTGGGTATCAGTTTGTTTTCAATATAATCACCCTGAAAAAGTAGGGATCCCTCCAAATTTGGTTTGGATATTGAGATTGATGATGCCCACCCCCATAAGAAGTATAAAAATATTTATCTGTAGAATAGAACACAGAGTCTTGAGCATGGTAGGCAAACACTCTACCACAAACCTATATTCACAGCGTCACAACTGTGGGCGGGAGGGAGGGAGGGGCGAGAGACTGAGAAAGCAGGAAAAGGGGTGTGTGTGTGTGTGTGTGTGTCTGCCCGTGTGCCACAGTGTTCACATGGAAGCCAGACAACCCTCAGGAACTAGCTGTCTCCTTCCACCCTGTGGGTGTCAGGGACTGAACTCACATCATCGGGAGTCTTGGTGGCAGGTCATCTTGCCAGCCCTTAACTTCTGTTTCTGAGAGCTTCGTTTTTCTTTTTCTTTGAAACAGGATCTTTCTATGTAGAACTGGTTGTTCTTGAAATCATTGCATAGCCCAGGCTGCCTCCAAACTTGTAGTGATCCTCCTGCCTCTGCTTTCCAAGTGCTGAGATCAGAGGCATGTTCCACCAAACCCAGCTAGTCAATCAGTCCTCAAATGCTGATGGTGATCCCTAATCTGTTTCCAGTGACATTTCTCAAGTTTCAGTCCGTCAGCTAAATAGATTGCAGCTGAGATTTCATGGCCTTAGAAATTAGAGGCCTCTTTCTAAATCATTGTTTTATATGCAGATGAGACTCTAGCCTTGACTTCACATAATTAATAAAAAGGATGACAATCTAGCTGGGCAGTGGTGGCACATGCCTTTAATCCCAGCACTCAGGAGGCAGAGGCAGGCCGATCTCTGTGAGTTAGAGGTCTACAGAGTGAGTTCCAGGACACATCCAGGGTTGTTACACATAGAAACCCTGTCTCAACCCCCAACCCGCCAGAAAGGCAGGGGTGACAATCTTCTCACCAATAGCTAGTCAAATCTCTAGGACTAATATTTAGCCGATGAAATGTGAGCTGATCCTGTTTTCTCTTTCCTGTCACCCAAACTCACCTTGTAACAGTCATTAGCAATGAGCTGTAAGAGGCTGAAGGACTCGCCAGAAGTTTCCATCTTGAGATAAAGTTCCCAAGCTAGTCTTGGTTTTTTATTCATGATATCTACAAAAGGAAACAATTATGTCATTTATTATTTATTTATGAGTGTCTCAAGATAGTACCTAAGCTGTAGCTCAACATAAGCCTCCAGCCTCAGCCTTGAACCTCTCAAGTGATGGGATTATAGGAGTTCGACTACAATTTTTAAACTTAATTTGTGTGTGTGTGTGTGTGTGTGTGTGTGTGTGTGTGTGTGTGTGTGTGTGCCCTTGGAAGCCAGAAGAGGGCCCTGGAGCTGGAGTAATAGAAGGCTGTTAGCTGACTGGGTGCTGGGACTTGAGTTCTGTTCTTCTGCAAGAACAACAATCACTCTTAACCATCACTTCAGGCCCCAGACTTAAGCTTTTTAAATGTTTAAGAAAGAACTCCTTTATGGTACCATTCTATGGACTTGGATTTAAATACCCAAATACAAAGTGGTGATTGCTGCCATGTAATAGGCTCCTTACCAGAATGAGATCAAACTTAAATTACTTAAGACTTACAAAATTATCTTTTAGACTGAGTTGATTTCTAGAAGTTTCAATTTTGCTAAAAAGTATAGTCATTATTCATTCAGTCCTGCTCACAATTTCACCCTCATAGAATTGGACTGCTAGCCAGATGTGGTGGTCTATGCTTGTAATTCCAGCTTCCAAGGGATTAGGATTGGAAGTTCAAGGCCAGCCTGGGATACAGAGCGAGACTTTGTACCACCAATGAAAATAATATGTAATTGCTAAAAATCTCCTGTGACTACAAAAACTTACTTAACATTTTAGGTATTGTTTGTCTGTTTTTGGTTTTTCCGAGACAGGGTTTTCCCTGTGTAGCTTTGGAGCCTGTCCAGAAACTAGTTCTTGTAGACCAGGCTGGTCTTGAACTCAGAGATCCGCCTGCCTCTGCCCCCAGAGTGCTGGGATTAAAGGCGTGTGCCACCAACGCCCGTCGTTTTAAGTATAGTTTTAAGATATTTATTACCATGTGTGTGATGCTTGTGTTTGGGATTGAGGGGCATGTGCCAGGATACCTGTATGTTGGTTAGAAGACAAATCTGTCAGTTCTCTTCTTCCATCTTTATGTGGGTTCCAGGAGACAAGCATTTACCTACTGAGTCATCTCAGTGGCCCTTGGTGAGTATTTTAAATCTGACTGAATGGTGACAAGGGCTATGCAAGGGACTCTATAGATACAGGCCTGGCACTTGTGTGCCCAGACAAGACACCATGTATAGACTCTGAACTCCCACTGGGTTCTCTTTCCTTCACTTCTATGCTTCCCCTAATTAATATTTAAATTTAACTTAATGGAGCAGCTCTGTTGCACCCTGTTGTCTTTATTTCTTGTGGGCTTTTTAAAAAATAAATTTTGGTTATTTTTATTTTAAAGATTTATGTTGTATTCATGGAACTGGAGTTTTAAACTTGTGAGCTGTCTGATGTAGATGCTGGGATCTAGTCAAGTCCTCTGGAAGAGCTGTGAGTCCTCTTGACTACCAGACCATCTCTCTATCCCAGATTAGCTATTAAAAAAAAAATCACTCTGTAGCCCTGGATGGCCTAGAACTCAATATGTAGGCCAGGATGGCTTTGAACTCACAAAGATCTGTCTCCTAACCAGCTTTATGTAACTCATTTCTTTTAGACAAGGTCTGCTATATCCCAGGCTGACCACAAACTCCTCATGTAGCCAAAATTTACCATGGAGCCAAGGATCGCCTTGAATGTCTGATCTTTCTGACTCCCCCTCAAGTGGTGCTGTATTTTTGATTTTTTTTTTTAATTGGCACTCCAAAGAATCTAAGTAGACCTATACGTGTTGTTCTCCTGGTCTCCGCCCCCTGAATGCTAGCATTGTTTAGGTTATCTGGTATGATGTCAGTCTCTCTTCAGCTGGAGATGACGTAGCTCCTCTCTTTCTTACTGTTCACCTTTCCATTTACTTTACTCCCTGACATTCTTTTTCTGTTGCTCAAACTCATTGCCAGTCTTACGCAGTTTATTTCCCCTCTGTCCCTACCATAATAACTAATATCATAGCACACAGTGCACTATTTTGTTCCTTTATTCCCCTAAAATTATTGGAATTGAAGAGGCAGTTGCTTTCAGTTGACTACTGCTGCATTTTCATGGTGGGCATATCCATTGGTTAGAGTTGTTTCTTCAGTGAATCTACTCTCAGAGCAGAGCTGCATATTGGGCCTGGTGCTCTGAGCATGTGGGCTGAGGTTTTAGCTGCTGAGCTACACTCTAGGACCAGAAAGGAAGAAACAACATTGACACTGAAGTACTCTCATTGAAAGAATACAAGTGATTGAAAAACAAAATCCAACCAAAAACACAATCACAGATGTGCAGATCCCGATGCAGAGGCAGGTGTGTGACACACACCTTTAGTCCAGCACGTGGGAGGCAGAAAGGCAGATGGATCTCTGTGGATTTGAGGACAGCCTGGTCCATATAGTGAGTTACGTGACAGCCAGAGCTACAGGCTAAGACCCTGTCTTGAAAAAGAAGATTAAAAAAAAAATCAAAAAAGCAAGTCCCAATGCAAAAACATAAAAATCTTGAAAAATCAAGACAATACAACTAGTCTTAAAAATTAATAATTTCACAGTCATGAAGTCTGGTAAGAGGAAAATGAATTAGATGAAATCCGGGACAAAGAATTCCAAAGAACAAATGGGAGAACATTCCTTGAAATCAATGCTGGCACAGTAGTTAAGAGCACTAGCTGCTCTTCAGAGGACTCAGAAGGTGCCCCACAACTGTCTGTAACTCCAGTTCCAGGGGACCCAATGCCCTCTTCTGTCCTCTACAAACCCTGCATGCAGACTGTACACACCCATGCACATAAAAGAAAAAAGATTTTTAAAAAGACCTAAATTGGCTGGGCAGTGGTGGTGAATGCCTTTAATCCCAGCACTCGGGAGGCAGAGGCGGAAGGATCTCTGTGAGTTCGAGACCAGCCTGGTCTACAAGAGCTAGTTCCAGGACAGCCTCCAAAGCCACAGAGAAACCCTGTCTTGAAAAACCATAAAAAAAGCCTAAATTGTTAAAATAACATCAAATTTAAAAGTCAAAGCAAGATATGAAAGATGAATTCATAAGAAGAAATACTAGAAAACTTAACTTGAAGTTTTGTAGGTGAAAAATTCAATAAGCCATACAAAAACACAGTGGAATGCCTAGCCAGTAGAATGGATCAAGGGGAAGCCAGTATCAGGATTGGGGAGAAAGTGATAGCTATTCTTGTTATCAACTTGACTACATCTGGAATCAACTCAAACTCAAGATTCTGGACATAACCATGAGATGTTTTCTTAATTGTTTATTTGAGGCCAGAAGACCCACCCCAAATGCGGGCCACATCTCAGGGTAGCAGCCTATATAGAAACACTTGGGAGGAAGCTTTGATTTTGCCTGCTTGCCCTCTCTCTCACTGAGCTCATCTGCCCCACGGCTGATGCATTCATTCCTTTGCCTATACTAGAACCAACCTCCTGGGATTCCAACATAGACTGAAGCTCAGTGGCTCTCCAGGAATCCTCAAGGATGCCGTGACATATTGGGGACTGAATAGCTATCGAGTCAGGGCCTTCCCATCATGAGATTGCCATTGTTGGACTATCTGGACCCCAGCCTGTAAGCCAGTATAGCAAATTATATATACATACGTGTGTGTGCATTAAGTGTGGGTGTGTGAGAATGTGTGTACACATTCTCAGTTTTGTTCCGTAAGAGAAAAAAGGATTAATACGATGAATCAGAGCAGTCATATAACAATAAAAATGAAATATTAATGGAAGATGAAGAAATGAGACATATGGGACATGATTAAAAGATTAAATATATATGATTCATGGGAATAAAACTGAAGACAATGGCACAGACATATACTCAATTAGATCACAGTAGGAAAAATGTGAAAATCTAGGGAAAGAAATGTCCATCCAGATATAGTGGGCTTTTAGAATGCCAAGAATATAGGTCCAGAAAAGATTCTCCTACATCATAGTTAAAATACTAAACACATAGGGTCCAAAAGAACATTAGAAGCTTCATGCGAGAACCATGAAATCATATGTAAAGACAACCCCATCAAACAAGAGTAAATTTTGTCACAGAAATTCTAAAGGTCAGGAATGCATGGAAAGATATATTTCAAATTCTCAAAGACAATAATTGCCAACCCAGATTATTATTTTCAGCAAAACTATGCTTCATAACTGAAGAAAGAAACTTGCCATTATAAATATAAAATAAAAAGAATTTATGGTCACTAACACAAAACTGTAAGAGGATGGAAGGAATTATACAACTTGAGAAGAAATAAACACATCCATAAAGGCACAGGAAAGAACAAACCATACAAGAATGGTAAATAAACAAAAAAGAAAACCTATAGCAAACATTATACTAAATTGGGAAAACTCAGACTTGCCACTAAAACCAGGAATGAAATCAAGGTGTCCATTTTCTCCATCCTTTAAAATATCTCCCCATATGTTAAAACTTTCTCTACTCTTAGTCAACGTAGTCCTTGAATAATTGCTAGAGCAGTAAGACAAGAGAAACAAATAAAACAACAGTAATAATAAAGAAGTCAAAGTGTCCCTACTTGAAGATGCTATGATCTCATACATTGGAAACTCTAAAAATTCTACCAGAAAACTTTCAAAGTTGAGGAACCCTTTCTACACTGTACAGGAAAAACAGTAGCTTTTCTATATACCAATAGCAAACTTGCCAAGAAAGAAATCAGGGAAACAATCCATTTATAATAGTTTGAAAGACAGCACAACAACAACTGGTAATAAACCTAACCAAGGAAGGAAGAGACCCACACAATGAAAATTTAAACAGGAAAGAAATAAGGACACTAGAAAAATGAAAGAGCCCGCAACAAATTAAGTCAGCAAAATAAAAATGGCTATTTTACCAAAAGCAACATACAATTTCAATGTAATTGCCATAAAAGATTCAAATGACATTCCTCACAATAACAGAAAAAAATGCTAAAATTCACATGACAACAAAAAAGTACAGACATAAGAGCAGACATATAACTCAATGGAACAGGAAAAAAGGACACACAATTATATTTATGGCCACCTGAGTTTGGCAAGGGTTTCAAAACATAAATTGGGGAACATAAAGCCTTTTCAACAAATGGTGCTGGGGGAGTGGACACCCACATACAGAAGAACGAAATCAGATCCCTATCTGATGGGGGACGTCCTTCTGTAGGTTGTGAATATATGTTTCTCTTATTGGTTGATGAATAAAGCTGTTTCAGCCAATGGACAGGCAGGATGTAGCCAGGCAGGAAGTATAGGCGAGGCTACTGGACTTGGAGAATTCTGAGAAGAGGAACACAGAGAGTGAATCACCAAAGAGACACCATGTAACTGCCAAGAAAGCAAGAGCCTCAGGCATCAACAGTAAGCCAAGACCATGTGGAGATACATAGATTAATAGAAATGGGTTAACAATTAAGAGAGAGCTGGTCAATAAGAAGCCTGAGCCATAGGCCAGTTTATAATTACTATAAGCCTCTGTGTGTTTATTTGGAACTAAACAGCTGTGGGACCTGGTGGGACAGAAACTGCAGTCTACACCTATCTCTCACTCTACTTAAAACTACGGATCAAAGACCTTAACCTAAGAGTTGAAACTCTGAAATTGTTAGAGGAAATCACAGGGAAAATGCTACAAAGACAGTAGCATAGGCGAGGTCTTTCTCAAAAGCATTCTAACAGCTTACTAACTGAGGCCAAGACTTAACAAGTGGGATTTCGAGAATTGAGAAGCTTCTGTGTGGCCTGAGAACCATCTGAGTGAAAGAGCAGCCTACCGCAAGGGCAAAATTATCCGTAAGTTACATGTTGGTGGAGGATCACTGTCTGGGATACGCAATGTGAACAGCATATCTGATGGAGGGTCGCTGTCTGGAATATGCAAATAACAACCAACAAATGGGCTAAGAAATTAACAGTTCTGAAAATATAAAGTATAATCACCAATAAGCATGTGAAAAATGTCCAGCAACCTTAGCAGTCAGAAAAATGAAAATTAAATCACATGAGATTCATCTCTTCCTGTCAGAATGGCCATCAAGCAAAACAAGTACAGAGACTGTGGAGAGAAAGGGACTAAACACCATTGGTGGAGATATAAATTAGTCCAATGGTACAAAAGTCAGTTATCAAAGTGCCTCAAGATCTTAAAATAGTGGGGTTGGGTTAGAGTGTTACAGCACTGGCCTGCCACACACCAGGCCCAGGTTTGATCCCTAGCACCACAAAACAACAAAACAAGACTGCCTAAAACAGAACTACACTGTGCCTCCAGGTCTTTATACCACAGACACTTGCACACCTATGTTGATTTCTGTACTATTCATAACAGTCATGCTAGGGAAATAGCCCAGGTGCCCACCACCAGATGAATAGATAAAATATGATGTACACACACACACACACACACACACACACACACACACACACACACACACACAAAGAACAATGAAATTATATAATGCTTTAGAAAATATGTACAACTTGAGAGCATCATATTAACATATGAAAACTCAGACAAATAAGCCTCTTTTCTTATTTGTGAATCTTAGGTTTATACAGAGTCACAGAACCATTGGCTATCAAAGCAGAAGGGAGGTGTGGAATGGAGGGAACTGTGGGGATATGTGGGGTGGATATGTATGTCAAAGTAAGATATACTTGAAAGTGTCTTGATGAAACCTGCACTATGTATAATGACTATGCAAAAAATCTGAGAAACGAGGAAAAGATATGAGAGACTTATTACAGGTTACCAATGAACAAAAATTACACTTTGGCATGCTGTTACTTTTCCAGGCTTGAAAAATGAAAAGATAAAACCAGTGTGATAGCACCATTTCTCTAATGGACTGGAACACAGAGTCTGAAAGCTTTACTAAAGCTAAAAGAACCTGACATCTTGCTTCAATAGCAGCAGCATGTCAGTGTGGAATGGTGGAACTAATCATGGGTGACGTTACATAGCACATCCGCACGGCAGCTCTTACTGAGGAACATAAATAACCCTTTGTTATTTGAGTGTCTACTCATTCTGCAGAACACAAAGAAGTGTAGAAAAAATGCTTAATGTGATTTCCCAACAGATTACATAACAGGAAAAAAAAAAAAAAAGAGGATCCTTGTAATGTTGAGAAAGAAAACTTACAGCATCGAGCTAACCAGCTGAGGTAGATGTAATCATTTTTCAGCTTCTCACTTTGGATCAAGAGGAAAACCTATGAGAGAAAAGAAAGGGAACAAACATGAGGCTGGGTAAACAATAAAAACATATTTATCAACTAGAGGCTGCTGATACTGCAGCCTTATATTTAATAGCAAAATGGAAGTTAAATGAAAACATTTTTATAAAGTCTGCATGTTGATTGACACTGTACTTTTTTTTTAAATTTTATTTATTTATTTATTTATTTATTTATTTATTTATTTATTTATTTATTTATTTATTTATTTATTTATTTATTTATTTATTTATTTATTTATTTATTTATTTATTTATTTATTTATTTATTTATTTATTTATTTATTTATTTATTTATTTATTTATTTATTTATTTATTTATTATGTATACAGTCTTCTGCCTGCATGCAGGCAGACGGCACCAGATCTCATTCAAGGCGGTTGTGAGCCACCACATGGTTGCTGGGAATTGAACTCAGGACCTCTGGAAGAACAGTCAGTGCGCTTAACCAGAGCCATCTCTCCAGCCCGACACTGTACTTTTAAAGATTTACTATTTATGTGTATTCATGTGAGCCTGCTTGAGTTTATGCACACCATGAACACAAAAGAGCCCACAGAAGACAGAAAAAGGTGTCAGATCTCCTGGAATTTGGATTACAGGCAGTTGTAAGCCACCACATAGGTGCTGGGAACTAAAGCCTGGTCTTCTGTAAAAGCAGTAAGCGCTCTTAATGGTTGAGCCATTGCTCCAGCCTGATAACATACTTTTTAATGTACCCCACAATGAAACAAATTAAAACTATTCATTTACTCTGTGTGCGTGTGCTTGCACACATAGGAATACACGGTAGATGTGTAATGCGACGTACATTTGGAGAACGACTTTCAGAAGTTGCTTCTTGCCTCCCACCTTGCTGAAACAGGGCCTTTCATTTCGCTGCTGCAAGTGCGGCATACCCCAAGCTAGCTGGCCTGCAAGCTTCCAGGTACTTCTGTGTCTGTCTCCACTCTACAAGAGTGCTGCCACAGCCAGCTTTTTTTATGTGGGTTTTAGAGATGAATGTGGGTCACCAGGCTTGCAAAGTTAGTTCCTTAACCCACGGAGCCATCTCTCTGGACTGTTTTGGCTTTTTGAGGCAAGGTCTTGGAATATGTAGTTTAGGATTCTGTGCTACTGAGTGCTGGGTGCACAGGAATGGGGTACCAGTCCCTAGTAAATCAACCTATAATGGTCCTTTACCCTCCGCCATTTTATTTTAGTGAAAAGAAGTTAAGGATGCTGTTAGATCCTTTACAAGCAGGCACCTTGATACGTGGCATTATGTTTTGTTTTTTGTTGAGACAGGGTTTGTGTGTGTAGCCCTGCATGTCCTGGAACTCACTCCACAGACCAGGCTGGCCACAAACTTACATGGTCCACCTGCCCGTCTCCTGATTAAAGGCGTGTGCCACACAGGCCGTTTTAAAGATCGAGCGAGCGAGCTAAAGCAAGCACTCACCTCTTCCCCCTCACTGGTGTTGCCTGTGGCAGCTTTGGCTTGGGCATAATTAAAGTTAAAGATGTCATCATTGTAGAAGTAACTCTGAAAAATGAGCCAAGAACAGGGCACACTGAGTATTAACATGGAAAATATAAAATCATCAGCTATGCTGACTAAAAAATAATCTAAAGTTTATTATTGCTGGGTGGTGCCACACAGTTTTAATCCTAGCACTCAGGAGGCAGAGGCAGTCAGAACTCTGTGGGTGTGAAGTCAGCCTGGTCTACATAATGAATTTCAGGCCAGCCAAAGGGACAAAGTAAGTGTGTGTGTGTGTGTGTGTGTGTGTGGTGGTTAGTGGGGTAATGTCTGTTTGTGTGAGTGAGTGTGTGTGATGGTGGTGGTGGTTAGTGGGGTAGTGTGTGTGTGTGTGTGTGTGTGTGTGTGTGTGACGGTGGTGGTGGTTAGTGGGGTAGTGTGTGTGTGTTGAGTGTGTGTGTGTGTGTGTGTGTGTGTGGTGGTTAGTGGGGTAGTGTGTGTGTGGTGTGTGTGTGTGTGTGTGTGTGTGTGTGGTGTGGTGGTTAGTGGGGTAATGTGTGTGTGTGTGAGTGTGAGTGTGTGTGATGGTGGTGGTTGTTAGTGGGGTAGTGTGTGTACCACCGCACATGTGGAGGTCAAAGGACAATTTTGTGGTGTCAGCTCTAGCTCTTTCCTTCTGCCTTTACATGAGTTCCTGGAATTGAACTCAGGTCACCAGGATTTTGAAGTAAGTTTGCTGCCCCCATAGAAATACTCTTAAGTAATTAAGCCAGGTGTGGTGGCACACACCTCTAATCCTTGAACTTGGAAGGCAAAAGCAGGTGCACCTCTGAGATAGAGATTTATATTAATTCCATCAGAGAAAGGGGGCTAGCTACAAAAGTGTAACTTTTGGGGCAGGGGCTGCTATTGTTTTTGTTTTTGAGACAAGGTCTTACCGTGTAGCCCTGGTTGTCCTGGAACTTGCTCTGTAGACCAGAGTGGCCTTTAACTCACAGAGGCCAGCCAACCTCTGCCTCCTGAGTGCCGGGATTAAAGGCATGCACTACCATGCCCGATTTGGCCTTAAACTCTTAATTCTCCTACTTCAGCCATCATTCCCATCTAACACAGCATGTAAAGTGTTTCATATATAAAGTCACAAAGATGATTCATACTGACCTTAAAAGAGTTGAGGTAAATCAAGACATCATCAAATTGCTTAAGCAGGAAGAAACAGGAAGCCATGCACTGCCTCCCTGGTATCGTATCTGGAATGGGGTTAAGCAGAGGGAGAAGAAACGGTAGAGACCCATGAAACCAGAAGGTGTCTTTAGTTAAAATCAGCATTCCTGTAGAATTTAGAAATAGGAATGCAGCTGGGCATTGGTGGCGCCTTTGATCCCAGCACCAGGAGGCAGAGGCAGGTGGATTTCTGTGAGTTCAAGGCCAGCCTGGTCTCTATAGGGAGTTCCAGGACAGCCAGGGATACACAGAGAAACCCTGATTCCCAGGACCTCTAAATGCTGATTTTGAAATTATAGATCCTGCTGGCCCCAGGCTCTAGGGTCAACTTCCAGAGTCCAAAAGAAACACATCCCCTGTGAGTATACTGGCTTTGGTATTCCCTAGACTGCCTTTATGGGGCTTTGGTTTATGCAACTGGTATTGACCTCAACTCAATCAATGTGGTCCGGTCTCCACACTGACCTGTCCAACACAACAACTTTACACCTCCAGACTCAAGCAGAGAACTAATGTGCCGTGGACCTGCCCGATGCTGATCTGACCTAGCATTCATCTTACACTTCTGTTTAAGACAGCAGATGCTAGCATGGCCCCATCCATACCATGACGTTCCAAAGACTCCGTGCTGCTCAAGATTTGTTATAGTCTACCATGCTCCAACATCTATTTCTGGATCATGCTCAAGGTCTGTGTGTCCCAACAGACTAAGCCTCACAAAGGCAGGGATTCCTGTTTTATTTGCTGCTACATCTCTAAATTTTTGTTGTACAAATCAAAAAATGAAGTAGGGAAAAGAAATACTATTCAAAAAATAGTATTGGGGAAACATTTGTGAATCTCCTGGGGCAATTTAAAAAGTGTTAACCATCAGTTCAGCAGCACACATTTTTTTTTTTTTTTTTTTTTTTTTTTTTGCTCTGTAGACCAGAGTGGCCCGGAGCTCAGAGATCCATCTACCTCTGCTTCCAGAGAGCTGGGACTAAAAACACCATCCCCAACAGATTAAACGTTTTTAATGGGGATGGGGTGAGAACACAGTATAACTTTAAAATCTATCAAAAAAAAAATCTATCAGGCTGGCAGAGGTGGTGCCTGCCTTTAATCCCAGCATTGGGGAGGCAGAGGCAGGCAGATCTCTGTGAGTTCGAGGCCAGCCTGGTCTCCAGAGCGAGTGCCAGGATAGGCTCCAAAGCTACACAGAGAAATCCTGTCTGAGCCTATCCTGGCACTCGCTTCTATCTATCTATCTATCTATCTATCTATCTATCCCCCCTCTCAGATTTATTTATTTAATTTATATTTATTGATTTATTTATTTTTGGTTTTTCGAGACAGGGCTTCTCTGTGTAGCTTTGGAGCCTATCCTGGCACTCGCTCTGGAGACCAGGCTGGCCTCGAACTCACAGAGATCTGCCTGCCTCTGCCTCCCGAGTGTTGGGATTAAAGGCGTGTGCCACCAATGCCCGGCCTTATTTAATTTTTAAAGATTTATTTATTATGTATACAGTTTTCTGTCTGCATGTGTCCCTGCATGCCAGAAGAGGGCACCAGGTCTTATTACAGATGGTTGTGAACCACCATGTGGTTGCTGGGAATTGAACTCAGGACCTCTGGAAGAGCAGTCAGTGCTCTTAACCTCTGAGCCATCTCTCCATCCCTCATTATTTATGTATGCATGTATGCCTGCAGGCCAGAAGAGGGCACCAGATCTCATTACAGATGGTTGTGAGACACCATGAGGTTGTTCGGAATTGAACTCAGGAATTCTGGAAGAGCAGCCAGTGCTCTTAACCACTCTATCTCTCCAGCCACGCCCCCTTCTCTCTTTAAAATCTTTAAGATTTTATTTTTGTGTATGTGCGCATATTTGGGTGTGTGTGCAGATGCCCACAGAAGTCAGAGAAAGGTATCAAATTTCCTGGAACTAAAGTTACAGACAGTTGTGAGTGGCCCAAAGAGTGCTGGGAACCAAACTCCAGTCCTCTCTGCTAGGAGAGGACTCTGTATACATAATAAATAAATCTTTAAAAATTAAATAAGGCTGGGCGTTGGTGGCACACGCCTTTAATACATGCTCTTAACCACTGAGCCATCTGTCTCTCCTCTTTTTAACGGCCTCTTATTATTTTTAACATTTAGAGTATGTTTTATTATATTTATTTACACATTTTGAAATGTGTGTATATGAGTGTAGCCATGAATCTGTCATGGTGTCCATGCAGAGGTCAGAGGACAAGTTATAGAAGTTGTCTCTCCTTCTACCACTAAGTTTGGACAAGGAAACTCAGGTCGTTAGGTTCAGTGGCAAATGTCTTAACCCACCAACTCAGCTCAAAGGCCTTTAATTTTAATTTTTTCTTTTTTTAAATGTGTGTGACAAATGTGTTTATATGTGTGATGTGTAGGCATGTTTGTCTGTGTAGATACCACAGTATTCACGAGGGGCTAGAGGACAACCTCACATGCCGTTCCTTGCCTTCTAGACTGTTTGAGTCAGGCTCTCACAGTTTGGCTGTATGTGCAGGCTAGTGGCCTGGCAAACTTCCAGGGATTCTCCAGTCTCCACCTCCCACTCACAGATGTCCCCACCCTGTCCTCACTTTCATGGGTGCTAGGGATCCAAACTCAGGTCCTCATGCTTGTATTGCAAATGCTTGACCACTGAGCCATCTGCTCTGAAGCTAGGCTTTGCTGGATGTGGTGGCGCACACCTGTAGTCCCAGCACTCGGAGGCAGAGGCAGGCGGATCTCTGTGAGTTTGAGACCAGCATGGTCTACAGAGAGAGTGCCAGGACAGCCAGGGCTACACAGAGAAACCCTGTCTCAGAAAACAAAAAAAAAAAGAAAAAAGAAAAACAAAAACTAATTTAGACTTACAATTACCAGGAACTAAGGAACAAATTTATTCCTGTTTATTTATGTATTCTGACATCACTCCTCTCCAGTTTCTAACCCCTTGTTTCATAATGAGAAACGTAACACATCCCTAGGCAGTCAGACTCCACTAGTTAACATCACCCAGCTCTAATTATGCATTGTGTTCAAAAGGACAGACCGTAGACATACCACATTCACTAGCTGATCCTCCTACCAACTGGAAAAACTGCTGGGCAATTTTCATATGATCCCTCTGCAAAACAGAAGTGATAAGGAGGAAGCAGGCACAAATACTTTAGTATATTATACTTATAATTACAATGCATTTTCCTGTATGTCATTAACAAACATCCTTGTTTTAAATCTTAAGTTCTTATTAGCTTATTATTACAAGCACCTAGAAAATTACAACTTGAAATTTTGTGAAAAGTAGAGTTAACTATACAAGAAGGAAACCTCAAAATCCCACCCTAAAATCCATGCATTAAATAAATAAATTTATACATTCAACAAATATGTAACACACTTTCTGTGTCTGAACTTTGTACAGAAGCCACAGACATAACAAGGATTATTAGACTAATAAATAACTCGTTTATTTATGCAGTATTTGCTGCTACATGGAGAGACCCAGAGATGAAAGGCTTACTTATTACATTCTTTGTTTCATAAAGAACTTAACTTGCTACATTAACATGGATAAAAACCTTGGTATATCTATTTATCTATCTGCCTGCCTGCTTGCCTGTCTGTTGTTGAGAAAGGGTTGCACTATGCAACCCAGGCTGTCCCTGAACTTGAGATCCTCTTGCCTTGTCCTCCCAAGCCTGTAGTTATAGGTGTATGCTACCATGCACAATAGTGGCCTGCTGTTTAGGCTGCTTGCGTAGTTATAAGAAGCTCTTTAGCCCAGCAGTAGTAGCACATGCTTTTAATCCCAGTACTCCAGAGGCAGGTGGATCTCTGAGATGGAGGCCAGCCTGATCCAGAGTTTCAGGACAAACCCTGTCTCGAAAAACCAAAGAAAAGAAAAGGCTCTTTAAACCAAGCTCTGGGGAGACTGAGGAAGGAGTACTGAAGATTGGTGTGAGCTCAAGGCCATCCTGGGATATAGTTACTATATGAGACCCTGTCTCAAGAAACCAAAATTAAAAAACAAAACAAAAAGCTTTTCTAGTAGAGATGGGGATATATCTCCGGTACGTTAAAAGCTTTTCTAGAGAAAGAATTTTTTCCATTTTCTAGGTACCAAATCCATTTTCCTTTTCTTTTTTCTTTCTCTTTTTTCCACCCTGGTTTTTCGAGACAGGATTTCTCTGTGTAGTTTTGGAGCCTGTCCTGGCACTCGCTGTGTAGACCAGGCTGGCCTCCTATCCTGGCACTCGCTGTGTAGACCAGGCTGGCCTCCTATCCTGGCACTCGCTCTGGAGACCAGGCTGGCCTCCTATCCTGGCACTCGCTGTGTAGACCAGGCTGGCCTCCTATCCTGGCACTCGCTGTGTAGACCAGGCTGGCCTCCTATCCTGGCACTAACTCTGTATACCAGGCTGCCCTCCTATCCTGGCACTCTCTCTGGAGACCAGGCTGGCCTCCTATCCTGGTACTTACTGTGGAGACCAGGCTGGCCTCGAACCAAATCCATTTTCTTTGTTTATTAGTTAAGAAACAACAGTATGACATGTAAAACAAATCTGTTTCTAATTTAAATTAAAAAAATAGAAAAAAACAAAACAAGAAAATCTTAAGAATAGTTTTTGTAGGGATTCTGGACTAGAGGGTTTAAAGACTTGAAAAAAACTGAAGGACCAAGGATGTGGCAAGTATCTACCATGCCTAAGGGTTTGCTCCCTGGTCCCCCACCTCCAGCAATCAAGTACAGCACCTGCAGAAGAGCCCAGTGACTGTGAGCCTGTTACTGGCTGCACGTCACTGTCCATCCTGGTTTTCACACAACCACAACTTTGCAAAGTATGGGTGACTAATGGTTTCATACTCACCGAACCCATTTCCTGGCCAAGGGCTGCGTTAACAACTCCCTTGAGTATATACTCCTGGAAAACACAATCATGCCATAAACCAGTTGTGTGGGCTCTCCTGTTAGCCCCTTGCAGCAACCCTACTTCACAGGCTGAATTGCCTTTCTCTGTTAGACCCCCAGCTTATAGAACAATGTGGAGTCTGGCTGACTTCTAGCAGACAAGCGCTCATATAGCAGAGTTTATCATTGTAAATGCTCAGTCCTAAGTAGAAAAAACTCTGTGGAGGCTGGGGAGACAGCTCAGTCAGCAAAGGAATTGCCCTGTAGCATGAGGACCCTAGTTAAATCCCCAGGAGCCATGGAAAAACCACCTGTAATCCCAGTGCTGGAGAGGTGGAATTCCTAGGGTCTGACAGGCATGCCAGCCTAACCTGATCAGCGAGCCCCAGGCCAGTGAGCCTCCTTGTCTCAAAGAACAGGGAAGACACTGTTTGTGGAAAAATAACAACTGCACACACATCATGCCCTGTCTCCAGTGTCACAATAACTATGCTATCTGATGCCCACTTATAAGATACTTCCTCTTTTGGAGTCCTGTGGCCTCATCGGTATCCCTTTTTTTTCATTCTTGGCTAGATTTTAATAATACTTTCCTTAGCAGTATCATTAGCTTTTACTGAAGGGCTCCCTCTAAGTAGTAAAAAGACACTGGAGCCTTCGATTCCCTTGAGAAAAAGACTTGTTCAGGCTCCATCCAGTCGGGAAGTAGTTTTCATTCTTTATTTTTTTAACATTTATTTAGTGTGCGTGTGTGTGCGTGTGTGTGCGTGTGTGTGCGTGTGTGTGTGTGTGTGTGGGTGTGTGTGTGTGTGTGTGTACGTACATGCGTGCACGTGTGCTCATGGGTGTGGATATGTGTACATGCTATAGCATGCATGTGGAGGTCACAATACATTTGTGGGACTTGAGCCGTCTTGCCGGCCTCCTCCAGTCTGTATTCAGTGAAGGGACACTTACTATGTACTTAGTACAGAGACACAGGCCCTGACTGCAGACACGAAAGAGACACAGGTCCTGGCTGCAGATACGACAGAGACACAGGTCCTGACTGCAGACACGACAGAGACACAGGTCCTGACTGCAGATACCACAGAGACACAGGTCCTGGCTGCAGACATGACAGAGACACAGGTCCTGGCTGCAGACACGACAGAGACACAGACACAGGCCCTGACTGCAGGAAGTGAACGACCTACGGAGGGAAGGGAGACAAGGGACACACACTTACATCCCAAAGTGACAAAGAGTACATTTGTAGTTGTTCCTTTCATTACAAGTATGGATTTAAGTTTTTCAAATGGATTTTAATATTTTCAAACTTTAGAACTTTTTAGGAATCAAACAGATATTAAGGGACTTGAGCCACATTTTTTAAAAAAGCCCAGAACATTAATTCTTTCATGAAGTCCCCCAAACCATCAATGTATATGGTCCTCTCAGGTACTACAATGGGTGTTTTCTCTGACACACCTCACAGCTGTGTGTCTGCCTGCAGAGCTGTCTGCACGGCCTTTACCTAATAGGGATTCAGCACTTCCAGTTACCTGAGGGGTCGTAGGCTCCAGATCCTTGATTAAATTATAAGCTTCCTGTACATCATCTGCAATGTAAGAAGTCAGTCATTATTTGAGCTTATGTTGCAACAACGTTCTCTAACGCAGTCACTAGAAATCTGAGTCTGGGGCTAGAGAGATGGCTCAGTCGTTAAGAGCACTGGCTGCTCTTTCCGAGGTCCTGAGTTCAATTCCCAGCAACCACATGGTGGCTCACAAGCACCTTGAATAAGGTCTGGTGTCCTCTGCTCAACTACAGAGTACATGCAGGCAGAAGACTGTATCCACAAAAAAAAAAAAAAAAAAAAAAAAAAAGGAAAGGAAAAGAAATCTGAGTCAGCAGTATTCAAATATTCATACAAACTAGGGGGCAGCTTAGTACTAGAGTGTTTTTACAGCAGGTGCGAGGCCACACGTGTGTGTACCCACAAACACACACGTATGTCCGCGCGCACACAGAAATATGTTTTACCTGACCTTTAATTCTCTATCAAGTTGATGGTTGTTTAGTTATCTTAAAGAAAACTAGCATTTTTCTTTTCAAAACACACATGTATGCATGTATGCACAGTTCACCCACTTTGAGACCAATTAGGCCAGACTGACTGGCCAGAGAGCCCCAGGGATACTCCTGTCTCCACCTCCCTGTAATGACACATGCATGACCCCACAGCTGGCACTTTCCCATGAGCTCTGGAGCTGGAGCTCATGTCCTCCTGGCCTTCCAGGGAAGCATGTTATGGACTGGCTTGTACCTGGGCCCAAGAAAACAGTCATCTTTAGAAAACTGATACTGAGCCATGAGACACCTAAAAAATGCTCAAGTTAAGACTATAGGCTGGGGCCAGGTGGTGGTGGAATACACGTTTAATCCCAGCGCTCAGGAGGCAGAGGCAGGCGGATCAGGAGTTTGAGGCCAGCCAGATCTACAGAGTGAGTTCCCTGACAGCCAGGGTTATTGGGTTATTGTAGAGAGACCCTATGTCAAAAAAAGAAAAAAAAAAGTAGGCTAGGTGTTATGTAAATGGATTTGTATTTATATAAGAAAACTGGCCAAGTGATGGTGGTGCAAACTTTAATCCTAGCATTCAAGAGTCAGAGTCAGGCAGGCAGATCTCTGTGAGTTTGAGGCCAACAAGTCTACAAAGTGAACTGTTACACAGAGAAACCCTGTCTCAAAACAAAACAAAACAAAAACCCACAATCAAGAAAAAGAATATCAGGGAAAGAAAAAAAAATTGAAGACCCAAAAGAAAATTGATAGAGGACAGAACAGCAAAAAGAAAAGCAGAACGAGGAAGAAGAGGTATGTAGTGAATGACAGAAGAGAGAGGAGAGAGAGAGAGAAAGGTACAACTACTAAGTGTCATTACAAAGGTTTTGTCTCGTGACCACGTTGCAAATATATATTTGGAAGTGTTATACATTTATACACTTCATACTTTATACATTCAATCAGATTGCCCTAAATATCTTTCTTCACACGTCACAACAGGACAAGTTCCCCTTACCTTGGCGAAGGTAGTAAATCACCAGGTTTAGCCTCGCTTCAGGAATGACGTCAACCAGGGGAGGCAGAACCTGCAAAGCCCCCTCGCCTCCCCGGAAAACAACCTGCACACAAAGACAGTGTCACTGCGGCATCACAGGCGCACATGGTCACAACTGGACATGTTAAGGGGCCTGAGGTGAGGGCAGGTGCACACCCGTGACGCCACTATTCAGGAGACAGACAGGACGAGTGTGAGTTCAAGACCAGATTCAACTTTGCAGGGACACCGTGTCACCTCAGCATCATGAAAATACAAAGCCCATGATGGCATTTATATAACTTTTCAGAGCCTGTTTCCCTCATTTCCCAACAATAATAACATCAATTAAATGAGTTTAAATGGGCTGTGTGGCACACAGTAGGTAACTGAATCTACAAATATTCATTAGCACCTATATGCCTGCTACCATAATAAGCACTGGGGTTACAGCAGGACCAAGTCACTCCCCTGCAGCCACATAAATTATTGAAGTATGGAGAGGCCCTCAGAAAGCAAACAAGGGCTGGTGTTACGACTCAATAGGTAAAGGGAGCCATATGCTAAAAGGAGAGAAGTAACTCCCACAAGTTGTCCTCTGGCCACCAGTTGCATGCCACGCTACACATGCTTGCACGTGCATACATGCACACACAGTAAATAAGTTAATAAATGTGATTAAAAATTTGAAAGATAGAGCCGGGCGTTGGTGGCGCATGCCTTTAATCCCAGCACTCGGGAGGCAAAGGCAGGTGGATCTCTGTAAGTTCGAGGCCAGCCTGGTCTCCAGAGTGAGTGCCAGGGCAGCCTCCAAAGCTACACAGAGAAACCCTGTCTCGAAAAAAAAAAACCAAAAAAAAAAAAAAAAAAATTGAAAGATAAGCAAACAAGTATGTTGTCAGATATAAAAAAAAACCAGGGCCAGTGAGATGGCTGAGCAGGTAAAGGTCAGTGCGGTCAAGATGGGCAAATGAGGGCAGTCTCCAGGACACACATTATTAACTTTAGCAAGCTGTCCTCTGACCACCCCAAGTCCACATGTGCACCATGAGAACATGCGCCCACACATATGCACAGAAATAAATGCAATCAAAACTTTTAAACAATTTGTTCACACTAATTAACTTCCAGAGACTAGCAAGTGTTCAGAATACAGTATACTGTCCACAAATACACTGAAACCAACGGCATTGGGTATGAACTACATAATTTTTCCCTCTGAATATTCATTTTGATGCTTTTTTTCTGGCTCCTTTTTATGTCCCTTCCTTTAACAAGGGGACTTCATCTGCTTCTTTGATCCTATGACTTCTAACTCCATCTGATTCTGCTTCTCCGTTAATCACTGTATCTTCAGTCTTCCCAAAGCAGCAGCCCAACTTCTCAACCAGAAGCACACACAAGGGTTTTTGTTCTTGTGTAAAATCTCTACTTGGTTCTTTTGTTCCTTCTGGAGAATGCCCTACTTTTTTTTCTTCTTTCAATGCTAAACTTGAAAAGCTGTGGCTGACTGCTAACTTCCTCTTACTCTGTCACTCCTTAGCCTTCCCCAAATGTGTCTTTTGCTCCCAGAACCCTAGTGAACTTACTCTCAAAAGTCACAAAGGCACCGCTTTAACTAAAGGACTTTTCGGGGTTGTTCCATGCTCATCTGTGATCTGACACTGAAGGCTTCAAGATGGCAGTAAAACCACAGCACGGCTGGCAGTATCCCATCAGATGACGGGTGTTACACAGAAAAGTTAAAAAGCAAGACGGGTCACAGGCAAAGGCTGGGGTTACAACAGGGTGAACACTAGTGCTTTTGCTGATGCCATGAGTGTTAAATCTACACGTGACCTCAGGCCTACTTTTTTCAGTGTAGTGACATAGCCTTTAATATCAGCAGTGGAGAGGCAAAGACAGATGGATCTCTGTGATTTCCAGACTAGCCTGGTCTATATATAGAGTTCCAGGCCAGTTAGGGCTGTGTAGTAAGATCTTGTCTTGCCTGGCAGGGGTGGCGCACGCCTTTAATCCCAGCATTTGTGAGGCAGAGGCAGGCGGATCTCTGTGAGTTGGAGACCAGCCTGGTCTACAAAGCAAGTGCCAGCACAGGCTCCAAAGCTACACAGAGAAACCCTGTCTCAAAAAACCAAAGGTCTTGTCTCAAGAAGAGGAGGAGGAAAAGGAAACAAACAAAGCAGAAAGAAGCTGCAGTTTTGTTGCCTTTGCTTTTAGATGAGGAAGCAGACCAACATACAACATCACTTGCTTAGTGCTCCAGGTGTCTGCCTTGAAGCACAGTATGCTTCTCATTTTGTTTCCTGGTTGATAGAACACAAACTTCATCTGAGCTTAGGTTTCTTTTAAGCAATGGCCATCATAATCTAGCCCGAATCCCATAACTCATCCAGCTTTACTTTGCACTCCCTCCCATGTGAATTTACTACACTGGTACAATCATCCTCTGGTCATCTTAACACGCGTCACACTCTTAAGAGTCATGTCTTGAATGAGAATGAACCCTCGAAAACTCAGCTCATCTTCAAAGATGAAACAGTCGTCCCCACTTATTCCAACCCATGAGGATATGTTCCTCTGTCTTTTTCCCAGGGACAAGGAACACTTGGGTCTGCCCTGCCTTGCCCTTCTTTTCAAATGTGACCCATATTCTGCCCTCCCAATAAGAGGTTCCCTAAGGAAGGAGACTGATATAAGAAACCCATTTTAGCCAGGTGTTGGTGGCGCACACCTTTAATCCCAGCACTTGGGAGGCAGAGGCAGGAGGATCTCTGTGAGTTCGAGGCCAGACTGGTCTACAGAGCAAGTGCCAAGATAGGCTCCAAAGCTACACAGAGAAACCCTGTCTCAAAAAACAAAACAAACAAACAAAAATGTATCCCTTTCACAGTAATGAGGCATTCCTTGGAGTAGTTCAATATTTGCTGGGGAATCTCCTTTTATTCATCTTTAATTGCTGTGATATACCAAAATACGACCCAAGACAATCAAGATGGGAAACTTACTCACCAGATTGTGCCTGATGAGTTCTTTAGCAAATTCAAACGGTGAAGAGGCGTTGTCCATCAAGCTTTTGAGTTCTGCCTGAAATATAAAAAAGAAAGGCTTCCCAAAGTAATAAGCATATAGTTCCTATTTTTTTTAAATGAGTGTCTTTTTTTTTAAAGGTTTTATTTATTATGTATACAACATTCTGCTTCCATGTATATCTGCACACCAGAAGAGGGCACCAGATCTCATAACAGATGGTTGTGAGCCACCATGTGGCTGCTGGGAATTGAACTCAGGACCTATGTATGGAAGAGCAGTCAGTGCTGTTAACCTCTGAGCCATCTCTCCAGCCCCCTATAGTTTTTATTTTTAAGATTTGTTTTGTTGTTATATTTATTTATTTTGACTTTTTTAGTTCTCTCTATGTAGCCCTCTGCAGCCCCAGCCCAGCACTGCTAAAGTGAGGTGGGAGGCAGAAGCAGTGTAACGAATTGGAAGCTTGCAGCACAGCAGTGAAAGAATAAAAAATGAGATGGAGGGAGAGAACTGACTTCCCAGAAGTTACCCTCTAACCACGACATACAAGCCACACACCATGCAAGTTCATGTACACATGCACACATACAATACATCAATAAAATCTGTGACCAAGCCTGAATATTACATTCAATCCCCAAATCCATACAATAGAAAGACTAGATTCCTGCCTGCAACTTGTACACTGATATTACTTGTACAATGTACACACACATGTACACACACACACACACACACACACACACACACACACACACACACACACGCTGCTCTTCTAGAGGTCCTGAGCTCAATTCCCATGGTGGCTCACAACCATCTGTAGTGAGATCTGGTGCCCTATTCTGGCATGTAGACATACATACGGACAGAACACTGAATACATAATAAATAAATCATTAAAAAATAATAATAAAATATGTTTAATAAGCCTGGCACGGTAGTGCATATCTTTAATCCTAGCTTTTAGGAGGCAAAGGCAAGCAAGTCTCTGTGAGTTCAAGGTCAGCCTGGTCTACAGATGGAGTTCCAGGACAGCCAGGGCTATATAGAGAAACCTTGTCTTGGAAAAAAAGAAAAGGAAGAAAAAAGAAAAGAAAATAATGCCCTTACTACTCTGGAGGACAAGTTAGTAATGGCAACACTTCCACCATGCCATCTCTTTCATGTTTACTTCAGACACAGCCCTGAAAGTCACAGCACACCACAATACACAACAATGACATGGGGTCATTGCTTCCCTCATGATTATTTTGAAATCACAACAGACATTCTGTTCTCTAAAACTTTGTAATACATTTTAAAATATCTGTCCATGATCTTCTGAGGCAAGGGAAATTCGTTTTCTTCTCAGACAAGTCTCCATTTCACAAGTTTTGGTCACTTATACCACACAAATTATCCATACCCAACCCTGCCTGTTGTTAGGTAATGTGGCAAGCCTCCCTTGCTAGCTTGCTCTGAGGTGCTCCTGCGGCTGCAACCTCAGCACCACACCCACCTAGCATATGATTCTGGGCTTGCCACACCGCCTCTGCCTGTGGAAGCCTCTTAGTACCTGGTTTAAGAGGAACCTAATGTGGCAGGGCCAGAAAAGCCAGCTGCCCGGGACAGCATCTGAGGAGTCGCTCACTGTGTGCGCATGGGGAAAGTGCCAACACTGTGCCCAGGCAGCTCGCTTGCCCCTTCAAGCCCTAGCCTGTCTCATAGACTCTGCAATGCTTTAGGGACCCAGGGACCTCAGACCACACTTTATGTTCTTACTGAAAACAACTATAAAGGGGAGAACTATTAAAACATTATACACCAAGCTGAGCAGTGGTGGCGCATGCTTTTAATCCCAACACCCGAGGCAGTGGCAGGTGGATTTTTGTGAGTTTGAGGCTAGTCTGGTCTGCAGAATAAATTCCAGGACAGCCAGGTCTACACAAAAATACCTGGTCAAAAAAAGAAAAAAAAAAAGTGAAGGGAAAACAGGTCCTAAAGGGAAAAAGTCACAGAAGCCATTTTTGATGTGGAGGGTTTATGAGTTTCACAGACGTTACCACCTGTACAAGCTACACTTAGGAGACCGAGGCGGGTGGATCAGGTGCTTGAGGCTCCCAAATCTAGACAGTAAGACCCTGTGATGACTTGGCCCTGACACCAAATAGGACAAATGGGAGGAACACATGTCTAAGAAGGCAGTACTGCAAAAAAAAAAAAGAGAGAGCGAGAGCGAGCGAGAGAGAGAGAGAGAGAGAGAGAGAGAGAGAGAGAGAGAGAGAGAGCCTGATCTGAACAATATCTGAAGAATAAGACTCCACGGCTTACCAACCGTATCAATTTGAGTACATGGTAGCACTAGATCCAATGGACACTGAGAAAGGTGGGGGAGAGAGAAGAGAGATATCTGCAAGTTATAACTGGGGGAAATAGTGGATGAGGACATGCAGATGGAGAAGAAAGTAACAGGCATCCCAGGTTTCTAATACTGGCTTACTGGACATACGGGGTTGACAGGCAACCACAGAGCCATGAATAGACTTTAAAGGAGGAAACTGGAGCATTGGTTTTAAACATTTATATTATATTTGTATTACTATATAGCTTAGGTAAAATTATCTAAAATATACTAGATACAACACAGATCATTCAGAAATGAAATTCCTTCTAGAACATCAGATTTAAAAAAGAAGGTATTTTGTGGCACACCTTTAATGCCAACACTTCAGAGGCAGAGGCAGGACTGTGTGAGGTCAGCATGGCCTACATGGGGAGACCTTGTTTCAAAAAAAAAAAAATAGGCTTATACAATTACTTGGTTATAGAATCAGAATCACACTGGCACTAACCAAAGAGCATTACTACCGAACTATAGATCCTAGAGTTTATGGCTAACTTGGGAACTGTTATAAAGTAACTCCCATTAGAACGGAATGAATTAGAAACATGTGTACATGCCTACCTCAGCTGCTTTGCCGTTGTAAAGGCGAAAGTGATTGCAAGCCTTAAGATTGAGTGCGATGGTACTATCAGGGATTTGCTGAAGGTAGACAGCCAGGACTTCCTGGGACACATCATAGTAATCCAGTTTGTAGTAGCAGAGGGCCACATAGACATTGAGGGCCAGGTACTCCCTGTTAGCACAAAGACTCAGGCTGAGGTGTAGCTCACAGACGCTGACTCCTGATACAACAGTCACATGGTTTCTAAACATCTTTATTACTAACAAATTCATTTGGCTCTTTCCCAGTTTTAATCTGGAGTATTAAATAGTCATCACTTCATCAATTCAAGTTCATGTATCACCTGAGTAAGTCTCCTACCTGCAGAAGTAATGTGGTAACAATAAGACAGAGAATGGAAGAGGCAGAAGGATGCCACACGCTTACAAAACAAAGAAACCGCATGTCCAACAACACACCTGATTTGGAAAGATACTGGACACAATGCTCACAAGGGAATAGATGTGTATTATATGAATGCTTTAGGAAACCTACTTCACAAAGTTTTCATTTTTAAAAGAGTTGTTGTATTTAAAAGAGTATGTTGTATTTAACATACAAATATGTATGTTAAAAAGTTTGTTATTAACATTCATATACTAAGTATGTATAGTCAGTTTGAATCCGATCAGTGTTTGGTAGACAGAAAACCCATCACACCGATTCTAATGACTTTAAGGAAAAGCAGAATCCAATTGTCATATCAAGTGTCTAACTAACTGCAAAGCTCAAATGAATAATAAGGCAAAGAACAGGGCAGGAGTCTGCCCTGGGAGAAGAAAGCCAGATGTAATTAGCGCATTGTTTTTCTCTTTTTGAGTTATAATACTTGATTAGCTTTGATATACCTCCCCACTTCACGCCCCCCCCCCCCCCCCTCTCGCCCCCCTCCCTGTCTGCAGAGTTTTTTGGTTTGGGCCGATACTTCTCTTTTATAAAAGTTTTCATTAGAATGTATTTAGCTATACATATTAACTGGTTTATAACATTTTCAAATACACGTGTAATGTATTTTGAGGTATTCATCTCCCCCCCATTACACTCCCTTGTGCCCTTCCCATCCCACTCATCCCTCTCCCTCTTTTCTACCAGTCTCCCTTCTCCATGTCCTTCTCTGTGTGTGAACCAGTGAGTTTAATTAGGGTTACTTACAGAGGCAAGGGGGAGGGGTTGTTTACAGGAGCATGGGCAACTTTCCATCAGATACATAGCCCATTCTTTTTTTGTTGTTTTTTTGAGACAGGGTTTCTCTGTGGCTTTGGAGTCTATCCTGGAACTAGCTCTTGTAGACCAGGCTGGTCTCAAACTCACAGAGATCTGCCTGCCTCTGTCTCCTGAGTGCTGGGATCAAAGGCGTGCGCCACCAACGCCCGGCTGACCGGCCCATTCTTGTGCAGGGAATCACGGGTGCTAGGTATTTAAGAGTGCCCAGAAAGCATCCTTCTTCAAGCCAGCACCCTGTCCTCTTATATTCTTCCCACTCTCTCTTCCTCAAAGTTCCCTGAGACTTTGAAGGAGTGATGCACATGTTTCACTTAGAGAAAAACCTCTTTGACGTGCTATGAATATCTACGGTCATGCCACTACTGCAGTCAGTCTTTTGGCCAATGCTGACGGTGACACTGGTCTATGGGTATCAACATAAACATTCAGAGGGCAGTCTGAGAGTACATCATTTCCCTTTACAACAACAACATCAGCAGTAGCTTCTCCACTAGAGTCAATGATGGGCTTTACAGTACCAGAAGTGAACACCCCCTGAGAAACAGGCCTCAAACCCCTCCAGAAGGGAGTTGATTGCCCCATGACATTTACCCCGCTGCTGCACCAGTGGGCACTCTTGCTTAGCATGTTGGTAGTGTAGCACATTTGGTCCACAGCTGAGTCAGAGTGATGACAATTTTCTTCTAGCAGTTGGCATAGAATCTTCCAGCATTGTAAAAGCTAGCAGGTGTGGTGGTTTGAGTGGGAATAGGCCACACAGGCTCATATATCTGAATTCCTGGCCCCACAGTTGTCAGAACTGTTTGGGTAGGATCAGGACATGTGTCCTTGTTAGAGGAGGTATATCACGGAGAGAAGGCTTTGAGGTTTCAAAAATCCCATGCTCACTGGGCAGTGATGGCGCTTGTCTTTAATCCCACCACTTGGAGGCAGAGCAGGCAGGTCTACAGTGTGTGTTCCAGAATGGCCAGGACTGTTACACAAGAAAACTTGTCTTGAAAAAAAAAAAATAAATAAAATAAAATAAAATAAAACAAACAAAGCCCATGCTCATTTCCAATTAGCTCTTTCTCTGCCTCATGACTATTGTGGTAACATGTAAGCTCTCTGCTGTTTCTCCAATACCACACCTGCCTGCCACATGCTCCTTACCATGGTGGTCGTGGAATCTGTAATTAGCCCTCAAATTAAATATTTTCCTTTATGAGTTGCCTTGGTCATGGTGTCTCTCCACAGCAAATGAACAGTAACTAAGACACCAGAGGAGATAGCTTCCAGTTCAGGCCCAGCTAGATTTCTCTGTATTCGACAATAAAAACATGTGGGCTCTTCAATGCTGGGACTTACCATCTAGTTCTAGTAAGTAACCAATAGCAATGGAAGCACCCTGTACTGCTTAGGGGCCTTCGTGGCCTTCCTGGTCAGTAATTCATAGGGATCTAGCCCACACTTGGAACTGGTATTTTCATTTAATAACATGTATGTCTGTATACCATGTGTGTGCCTGGTACCCATAGAGACCTTAACAGGGCATCCTTGGCCTCCAAAGTGGTAGGGTTACAGTAGTATGCTGCCATGTCCAGCCTTAAATAATACATTCTTTGTTGTTATTTTATAAATTATTATTACTTTTTAAGGATAGCATACAAAGTAACAGATTTCATTGTGGCATTCTCATATATATGAATCATTATATTTTGTTACAATTTTTCCTCATCCTCCAAGGCCATAAATTTTCAGAAAGGGTAATATCATCTCCAATGGGTAAAAAACTGATTCTTATGAGAAGGTGAAAAAATACTCAATCTATATAAAATCACAGTCATTTTATATAAACTCACACACAGAGTTATCAGTAAACATGTCAGTATATAAATTTTCTGGAAAATTGGGAGGAAAAAATGTCAAAAAAAGCTCCTTACACAGAAGACATGGTAATGAGAAAAGGTAGAGCCAAGCGTGTGGGCACACACCTTTAACCCAGTCTCAGAAGGATTCTGTAAAGTCAAGACTACAAAGTGAGACCCTGTCTCAAAAAACCAAGGGGTTGGAGAGAAGGCTCAATGGTTAAGAGCACTGGCTCCTCTTCCAGAGTACCCAAGTTCAAGTCTCAGCACCACATGGGAGCTCATAACCAAGGTAATGCCCTCTTTTGGCCTCCACAGATACCAGACACACATTTGGTACGCATACTTCCAGGCAAAATAGCCATACACACAAAATAATAAAATTAAAAACAAAAGCAACAAAAGAAAAGCGGTAGAGAAAGCCTGATGCCAACAATATCCAAGGAGTTCGTAACCTCATCAGATCATCAACGGAACAGGTCTAGAGGACACTCGGTTCTTAGCCAATCAGACACAAAGGAAACAGCAAAACGGCCGCGATTGCGAGCAGGCGGGAAAGAGCACAGACCTGTTGTCCAGCAGAATCCGCTTGTAGATGTCGATGGCCTCCTGGTAATGTGACCGCATGTAGTGGATTGAGGCCAGGCTGAGCTGGTCTTCTTTGATATCCTGAAGATTCTGGTGAAAGTTCATCAATTTCTTCTCATCGTTAAACTACAATTGTGAGAAAAGAACCACATTGGCGTGAGAGAGACTCTCGTGTGATGGAGGTCGGAAGTCCTCAGTGGCCACTGTGTCCCTACTTCCTCCACTTCCTAGCTCTTCAGCTGTCTGTCCTGCTGCAGAGAGGACGCAAACCATCTCTGTAGACAGAGCCTTGGCAACCGAAAGGCCAAAGTTACAGTCACAGTTAATGACTTCAGATCTCCACCCTACTCGTCTCTTCTCCGTACGAGTGTCTACCTTTCTCCTTCTTTCTTTTCTTTACATTTCTGTGCCCTCATCCCTTAACAATTCTTTCCCATTCTTTTGTATTTCCTTTTCTTTGGTGAATAGTATGTAATCAAAATGTATTTGTTATCACTTAACTTTATGAACATGATTTTAAATTTTCTGTTCTAGGTGTTTTTATCTTCTCTTTAGTTACCACACGTGGAGTTGTTGTTTTAGGCTATGAGAATTCAACTTTTATGCTTATTTTATTAGAAGGTAGTTATAGCAGGGTGGTGGTGGCATGCACCTTTAATCCCAGCACTCGGGAGGCAGGGGGAGGCAGATCTATGTGAGTTCGAGACCAGCCTGGCCTACTGAGTGAGTTCCAGGACAGCCTCCAAAACTACACAGAGAGACCCTGTCTGAAGAAAACAGAAAAAAAGTAGTTATAAATAACAACTGATTTGTTTATACATGGGATTGAATTGACACATTTTGTGTGTAACTCGTGATATACAAACTATTCATTCCTTCCTGGTGTTTCAAATCTTTTTTGATTTTTACAAGATTCGTTTATGTTAATTTTATATGTACTGGTGTTTCCCAGAGACTAGAGGTGACTGTAACTCTGAGCTGCCACATGGGTGCTGGGAACTAAATGCAGGTCCTCTGTAACAAGTGCTCCTAACAGCTAGGCCTTCTCTCCTGCCTCCTGAATCTTCTTTTAAAGCATCTGTTTCAAATACCAGGGACAAAAAGAGAACTGCTTTCAGTGGGTGTGGTGGTCTGAAACAGAGTGCCCCCGACAGGGTCATGTTTGAATGCTTAGTCCCCACTTACTGAAATTGTTTGGGAAGGATTCGGAGGTGTGGCCTTGTTGGTTGGAGTAGGTGTGGCTTTGGAAGGGGTGAGACACTAGAGGTGAGCTTTGAGATTTCACATGCTCAAGCCAGGACTTTCTCTGTCTGCCTGCTGCCACTGATCAGGATGTAAAGCTCTCAGCTACTGTCCCAGTGCCATGCCGGCCTGCCTTCGCCATGAGGATCACAAACTTACTCGGAAACTGCAGGAAACCCCCAACAAAATGCTGTCTTTTCTAAGATTGCCTTGGTCGTGGTGTGTTTTCACAGTAATAGACTGGTGACCAAGACAGTGGGTGCCTCTTGTCCAAGGAGATAGACAACTGGTGAGGGACTGTGTCCCACCCTCTAAAGAAAGACTGGGTCTTCAGCTCAGGGGATGGCTACCCTGAGCTGCCACCTAAGACCCAGATCAAAGCATCACCCTAACAGTTCAGATAAGCGTCCAGATGTCCAGGAGCAACTCAGAATGTGACACATGAACATACTAACTTCCTTTCCAATATGAGGGCTTTGTTTTCTGCCTTCATCAATAACCCAGAACTGCTTTCTAGACAAAGCTGAGTACTAACAAGTGTTAATGAGAATACCCAAAACCAGAGGAATATTGGAATTTGTTAGCCCTATCATGGGATTTATCCTACATACAAGAATATAAAATACAATACCTAGAACCTCCCCTAAAGGTCCCAAGCTAGACCAATTAATTAAGATAGGTGGGACACTTAAAAACATTAACAACTTGTTTTAGTCACAGTTCCATTGCTGGTAAAAGACACCAGGACCAAGTCAGCTCTTATAGAAGAAAGCATTTAATGGGGGGCTAGCTTACAGTTTTAGAGGTTTAATCCATTATCATCATGATAAGAAGCCTGGCAGTGTACAGACAGACGCTGTAATGGACAATTAGCTAAAAGCTACATCCTAATACATGGGCCTAATATTGCTCCTGGCATGAGCTTTTGAATCCTCACAGCCCACTCCCAGTGACACACTTCCTTCCACAAGGCCCCGTGAATCCCAGCACCTAATCCTTCTCACATAGCGCTACTCCCTGGTGACTAGGCCTCAAATATATGAGCCTACCCTAATGCTTTGAAATTATAGACGGGCTGTTCTAATACCTACATCCTAGACTGAAGCTTAATCTCATTAACAAAGAAGTGGATCACTCCACAAGTATATACACTAACTAAAAATGAATAATAAATTTAAGAAAAACAAAACATTCTTTTGTGTCCTTACTTTATATTTGGTTCGCTCCCCTGTTTGGATAATAAGCACTAATGATTATAACTTCACATCACTTTCCTCTTAATTTCTTCCAGCACTGGATTTTTTTCTAAATTGTTTTTTTGTTGTTGTTTTGCCATAGCATCAACATATAACTATCAGTGTGATCTTTTTGCCTCCCAAGTGCTGGGGTTAAAGACGTGCGCCACCATCACCAAGCTCAAATCTTATTTTTGTAATCACAAGAAAACACAGTAAAATATTTCTTGAAATCAAATCAAAGACTTTCATTTCTAATAATAGTGGACCTGCTGGGAGCCTAGAACAAGTAGAAGTTTGAAACTACTAGAAATCTGTTGGAGGCATCAAAGGCACCAACTCAGCAAAGATCTGCGATGCCAGGATCCCAAAGAGATATAGAAAGAATCTCTTTGTATACTTTACCTTTTGAGGGTGCTAGTCAGTTTTTAGTTGGCAATTGAGCCTGTATAGCTTGCTGGAGCTTCATGGGCTTGATGGGAAAACACTCGAGGCTGTCAGGGCGGAGCCTTGGAGGGACAGCCAGGGAGGCAAAGCAAAAACCCACCAGCTCTCAGAACAGCTTGGGGACCAGCCTTAAGTGGCTGATATCGCTGTCAGAAGCCAGTCCCTTTGCTCCTGTCTCATGTGATGCCAGACACACAAGTAAATCCTCTGTGGAAGATGACAAAATGTCTAGAACCTCAAATTACCTTAATAATATTTTCACCTCCAGTAGCCAGAATTCAATGTAATATACTCAAGTACCGGAGAGATAAGAGCATTAGACCAAAACTCAGCTGTCAGGAGAAACACCGAAGAGAATGCTTAGACCTGGGCTTGCTTTATTTATTTATTCTATATTTATTTGTTTATTTATTTATTTATTTATTTATTTTTGGTTTTTCCAGACAGGATTTCTCTGTGTAGCTTTGGAGCCTATCCTGGCACTCGCTCTGGAGACCAGGCTGGCCTGGAATTCACAGAGATCCGCCTGCCTCTGCCTCCCGAGTTCTGGGATTAAAGGCGTGTGCCACCAATGCCCGGCTCCTGGGCTTTATTTTTAAAAATCAATGCAAGAAGAGTACAAGAAAGGAGAGAAGGTAGAATTTTGGTCATTTGGAACACATGGAAACAAGCAGTAAGACAGCAGGCAGCTCTGGACCTGGGTGTGGTGCATGTCTTTAACTCCCGCAGTTGGGAGACTAAGGCAGCAAGCCCACATGTTTGAGGTCATCTTGGGCTATACGGCAAGTTTCAGACCAGCCTGTACAACATAGCAAAATTCTGTCTCGAAAAGTCAAGGGTGCTGGATATGCTCAGTGGCAGAGCACTTGACTAACATGAACAAGACCCTGGGTTTAATTCTTTTTTGTGGTTTCTGTTGGTTTTTTGAGACAGGGTTTCTCTGTGTAGCCCTAGATGTCCAGGAACTTACTTTGTAGACCAGGCTGGCCTCAAACTCAGAGAGATGGGCCTGCCTCTACCTCCCGAGTGCTGGGATTAAAGGAGTGTGCCACCACTGCCCAGCCCTGGGTTTAATTCTTAACACTGTAAAGTAATTGAAATAATTCAGGCAGACTTGGCCCCGCCCCTTGGGAAGTTGGCACAGTGCCTCTGTGCGTGACAAGTTCTATATGCAGGTGCAGAGGTCTCTGTAAGGTAAAATTCCACCTCCTCTCTCTCCCTCCTCTTTTCTCTGAGGAGGCAGCTCTCTGTCTCTGTCTCTCTCTTTTTTCCTTTTCTCTATCCTTACTCCCTTACCTTTCACTAATAAACTTTCCACACAAGTTTTGTCTGTAGGTCTACGTCTTTCCACCTGCTGTTTGTCCTCACCCTGCTGCATGACCTGCTAAAGGTCCCATCTCACCTTGTATTCCTAACAGTGATAATAATTATATTGTAAAATTTTTAAATACACTAGATATACTTTTATATGCTACTTGTTTGTGACTTGATTAACTTTCTGTAAAACAATTTAGTAACATTAACAGAAATGTCTAGTTAAATACTTTCCATCATTGTTGGCAAAAGGAAGAAAAGGAAAATGTTTTCAAAGCAAGCAATGTGGATGAAACACGAATACCTTGTGAGCCAGATGGAACAACAGGCGGTTTTGGAGCCGGCTTTTTGGAGCTGAAAGAAAAAGAACCATGTTGCTTGGTAAAGAATTCAATAGTTGCTCTGGAAAGCTGGCTCAGAGGTTAAGAGCACTTGCTGCTCTTGCAGAGCACCCAGGTTCAGTTCCAAGTACTCACACGCTCACCACTGTTCATGACTCCTGATCCAAAACATCTGGTGCCCTCTATGGAAGTTAGTACCTTGCCAGAGTAAGATGAGGCTCAGGTGGGTTGCCCCAAACCCTTATCTAGCTCTGTATGTGAGTGTGTGCGTGTGCGTGTGCGTGTGCGTGTGTGTGTGTGTGTGTGTGTGTGTGCTTGCGCGCGCGCGCTAAAATAAAGTCTGGTCCCCACCTGCAGGAGCAGCAGCAACAGGAGGCACAAGAGGGTTGTTTAGACTCTGCTCTCCACACTTCTACCCGATACTGCTGTGGTGTCTGTCCCACAGCACAACCCTTCACACACACACAGTGCAGCCCACCACTGTGCAGTTCACACACGGGACCAAACCCTGGTATGCCACCCCGCAGCCCACATGCAACCATCCACATTTTGCTGCTCACTTCAGCGTTCTTTCTCAACTCCTCCTACAATCTCCTTTTTCCAGAGTTATACTCCCACATTTTTCTAATTCCAGAATTATACTGCCATGTTTTCCTAAAAACCAGTCCACTGTATTCCAGGGATCTTCAGCCACAGTTAAGTGCCACCCGTAAAACAGGCACCCAAGAGAAAAGGCTCACACCTTTCAAGTTCCAGCGTCTGTAGTCTTGTCAGTTCCCAATTCTGCACAACCAATTCTGTATCTCTTTTACAGACCAAGATCAGACTTCAATGAGCGGAAAAATGAAAAAGATGTATATGTATGTGTGTATGTATGTATTTATGTGTATGTACATACATACATATGTATGTATGCATGTGTGTATGCATGTGTGTATGCACGTGTATGTATGCATGCGTGTATGTATATATGTATGTGTGTATGCATGTATGTGTGTATGCATGTATGTGTGCATGCATATGTGTGTATGTATGTGTATGCATGTATGTGTGTGTGTATGTATGTATGTATGTATGTATGTGTGTATGCATGTATGTGTGTATGCATATGTGTGTATGTATGTGTGTATGCATGTATGTGTGTATGCATGTATGTGTGCATGCGTGTATGCATGTATGTGTGTGTGTATGTATGTATGTATGTATGTATGTGTGTATGCATGTATGTGTGTATGCATGTGTATGTATGTGTGTATGCATGCATGTGTGTATGTATATATGTATGTGTGTATGCATGTGTGTGTGTGTGTGTATGTATGTGTGTGTGTATGTATGTGTGTATGGAAATGAAGCTGGCTGCTGTGAGACATTTTTGTGCCTAACAGTCTTCTCAGTATAAACTCTTAGAAACAGACAGTACTCTAAAGGACATGATGATTACATGTGGAAAAATATACTAGCATATATGAAAAAATGGGGTACATATTAGGAATGGTTTCAAGTTCTCCATTTTCTTTTTTAAATGGGGTAAGTTTTATACATATAAATATGAATTCTACCCATAATCTATTTTCTCTAACAATCTATTTTAGTGGGGGTTGGGGAGACCAAGGTTTCTCTGTGTAGCCCTGACTATCCTAGAACTTACTATGTAGACCAAGCTGGCCTTGAACTCAGAGATCTACAGAGTGAGTTCCAGGACAGGCTCCAAAGCTACACAGAGAAACCCTGTCTGGAAAAAACAAACCAAAAAGAAAAAAAAAAGAAAGAAAGGAAGGAAAAGAAATATCTATAAGACACACCCTTTAGGGCTGGAGAGACGGCTCAGTGGTTAAGAGCACCTACTGCTCTTCCAGAGGTCCTGAGTTCAATTCCCAGCAACCACATGGTGGCTCACAACCATTCGTTATAAGATCTGGTGCCCTCTTCTGGTGTGCAGATATACATGGAAGCAAAATGTTGTATACATAATAAAAATAAATAAAATCTTTATAAAAAAAAAAGACACACCCTTTAGAAGCAAAGATAAAAACAGGTACAAAGCAAAACCTGACAGAGTTGGAGTTATAACAATGGACAGAGACATTACAGCGGAAAATGGTATCTATAAAAAGCCCATTTTACCTTTAAACCCAGCAGCTTCTGCTTGTTTGTACATCCCAAGAAAAAAGTAGGTGCAGGCCAAGTTCACCCACACTTCTGGATTGCAGTTTTCCTCCTTTGTTGCGTTTTCATATTCCTGAAACAGACAATAGTTGAGGGCCTCGCTTGACAGTAAGCAACTGTCCGTTTCTAACATGGAAGATGAGTGCTCACTGATAGTGCAGCCTACACTCTGCGGGTCCTGCATCTCCTCTGCCATTCTCGGCCAGAAGAGGTTAGGCTCACATGTAATTATACACAGACAGGGCTCTTGCACATAGAATTTACACGTTGTTTCCCCCTCATTTTTAATGTCTTAGAAACCTTCAGAAATTAAAACAACTAAGATATTTCTTGCTAACTTAAAAAAGACATGGAGATGGGGCTTCTGAAGAGAAGCTCTTAGCAGTCTAAGAGCACTGGCTGTTCTTGCAGAGGACCCATGTTTGATTCCCAGCACCCACATGATGGCTTACATTCATCTGTAACTCCAGTTCCAGGAGATCCAGTGCCCTCTTCTGGACTCTGCAGGTTCCAGGCATGCACCTGGTTCACATACACGCAGGCAGGCAAAACACTCATATCCATAAAGTAAATAAACCTAACAATCGTTTTATAAGACAAAATGCTCCCCTGACATGTGAGGGCCCTGGGTTCAGTCTTGTGCTAATATTAATATGTTACAGAGGCTCTACTACACATGGAAAACTGAAGCACAACCAACATACAGACTCACATGCCAGTCCACATAGGAGAAGTCTTTCCCATTTTTATAGTTACTTTTTGGATTTTATTAAATTAAAACCATTTCATAATAATAACTTCCATTATACAAAAATAATCCTACCAAAAAATAATCCTAACAAATATATTAAATATTCAAACATATTGGAATGCTACACATGCTCTTGTTTTATGGGTTTTTATACAAGTATTTTGGTTTATATGTTATATAGCAAAGTGTGAAGCCGAGCAGAGTATTTGTCTCATTATTATTTTTTTAAACTAACTTACAAACTAGCAGGTTTCCCTAAAGCATTCGCATTGACTCCCCCACCTCCTCCTCTAGACTGCCTTCTGACTTCCACTACATACGTCTCTCAACACTCCCAACCCACATATATTTCCCCTTCTACTTTCAGACTGAAGCAGAATAAGGTAAAAAGACCAATTACATTATTTATTGAGTGACTTACTGAAAGCGCGGCTTGTGCTGCTGTCTGCCACACATGACTTCACTTCCACAGCTGTAATCATGGGCTGTTGCCCCTAACAACCTGTAGACTGTCACTGACTGTTACTACAGTGTCTTTAAAATCTTACTCGCTTGCCTGCACCCTTCCAGCTTGTATGAATGAGAACACAAACTGGACCTGAGAAGGAAGTCTTTCAGATGCTTTCTGGCTTCAGCCCACCAGTGGCACCTCCTCTCTTCCACACTGGTGTCAGAATGCTTACTCTAGAAAGATCCCCACAACAATATTATTCCATGTGTGCTGTTACCATGCTACCCCTCTCTGAATCAGGACATTAGGAAGGGTCAGCGGGGCCTTTATGAAAAGACGGAGGATTGGGAAAGACAGATGGATTCTTTCTTTTTACTTTGCTTCCATCTGCATTGTTTCCTTCTGCTGTTCCCATGAGTACATTCCATATACTGTCATTTTAAACGCCATGTGACGGTTTTCTCACTAACCTCCAAAGCTCTCTTGTAGTCACCCAGGTGAAAAGCACAGTATCCAATCCACAAGTTAGTATCATCTTCTTGCTCCCCAACATGGCGTTTGAACTTCTCATTAAAATGTCATGGAAAAAAAAAAACATGGAAGAAGATTTTAATAGTAAATTTTTGCTTTTCTAATAATTTATTTACTTTTATTTTATGTGCATTGGTGTTTTGCTTACATGTCTATGAGAGAGTGTCAGATCTTGGAGTTACAGAAAGCTGTTAGCTGCCATGTGGATGCTAGGATTTGAACCGGGGTCCTCTGGAAGAGCAGCCCATGATCTTAACTGCTAACTGCTAAGCCATCTCTCCAGCCCTGTTATTCTTTTTTTTAAGGTATGCTGAATGACTGATAAACAAGCAAAATGTAAATAAGAGAAGCCGGACAATACGTAGTTCAATGAAGCCTTCACTGACAGGAGTCAGCAGTGACCTAATTGTCACAGAAGTCCTTTTTTTCAGACATGCTGGATTTGTTTCTCTGTGTTTGCTAGCACCTTATTCCAGAAAGTATATGAGTTGTTTAATAACTCTGGATGTTGTTCAAGAATTATGCAAAACATTTAAAGCCAGCCAGGCGTTGGTGGCACATACCTTTAATCCTAGCACTCAGGAGGCAGAGGCAGGGGGGTTTCTATGAGTTTGAGGCCAGCCTGGTCTACAGAGTGAGTTCCAGGACAGCCAGGATCACACAGAGAGACCCTGTCTCAAAAACAAAACAGAAAAAAAAAAAAACATTCAAAGCCAAATAATTGAAGAGTAGAGGCCAAGCAATGGTTCTGACATCACATGGCCAGTCCCTGTCCCTGCCCCTGTGGTAATGGGGATCCAGTCATTTCGGCCTCTGTAGTCGCCTGCATTCAGGCTCACATACTCACACACAGACACAAACAACTACACATCATTTTTCAAATTCTTTTAAAAAGGTACACATGTAGTTAAGTAGGTGGTGCACACCTTTAATTCCAGTATTTGGGAGGCAGAGGCAGGTAGATTTCTGAGTTTGACACCAGCCTGGTCTATGGATCCAGTTCCAGGGCAGCCAGGGCCACACGGAGAAACCCTGTCTTGAGAAAAACCAAAAATAGAAACGTATATGATATTCAGTCCTCTTGTCACTGCTAGAAGATCCTTCCGAGTCAACTCTCCTATTGCAAAAGATGAGCTGACACAAGAGAGCCAAACAACTGGATTCAGAATCAAAACACTAGTAAGACACACAGGATTTTTTTGGGGGGGGCATGGAATACTGAGAAACATCCATAAAGCTAATCAAAGCAGCTATTATGGACATTGTCAGAGATATGTGACTGTAGATTTACAGTAAAGGGCCGGCAGAAAGTGCACTACAGCAGGCTGCAGCGCAGCACAACCAGACCATGCTGTCAAGGCTCCAACCTCTGGGGCACCCTTCTCTCTTCTCTCCCATGTGCTTTCCACATGCAGTTTCCCCAAGTTCAGTCTCCTAGGGCAGTCTGTGTTGGAAGCACTTCTTATACCACTTACCCAAAATGCGCCTGAGCACCACAGCAGACCTAGTGAATTCAAACTGGCAAAGCCGGAGCCTGAGAATACAAACATCTAAGTAACTCTCCTGGCACTCCAACACATATTAAAAGGTGAGATCTACACGCTGGGGCCCGGCTGGGGGGTTGACCTGAGGCACAATGCTTCCTTGAGGGCCTCAGTTTGACCCCCAGCATTGGTTCTAGAAAGAGATGACACTGACATGCGGAGTTGAATGTTTTGTGGGTTTACAATATTTTTAATTTTTTTAAAGATTTTTATTTATTTTATTATGTGTACAACATTCTGCTTCCATGTATATCTGCACACCAGAAGAGGGCACCAGATCTCATTACGGATGGTTATGAGCCCCCATGTGGTTGCTGGGAATTGAACTCAAGACCTCCGGAAGAGCAGTCAGCGCTCTTAACCTCTGAGCCATCTCTCCAGCCCTACAATATTTTTAAAATAAACATTTTGCTTAATTTTTAAGCAAAATATTATAAATATAAAGAAGTCTTAAATCACTCAAGAATTATGATAGACAATGTGTGAATTGACACTTAATATGTGTAATGCTGTATCTTTAGGTTAGATTCACCATCTGAGGGACTAGAAAAAAACATTAGTTTTAAGTGTATGAGTGTTTTGTCTTCATCTATTGTTTTGTTTTGTTTTTCGAGACAAGGTTTTCTCTGTGTAGCTTTGGAGCCTATCCTGGAACTCACTCTGGAGACCAGGCTGGCCTTGAACTCACAGAGATCCTCCTGCCTCTGCCTCCCGAGTGCTGGGATTAAAGGCGTGAGATACACTGCCCGGCTCAGCCAGTGCTCTTAACTGTGGAGCCATCCATCTCTCCAGTCCAACATTTTTTTATATTTTATCAGGTTTATAGTTAACTTGCTATCCGGAATATGTGTCTGGCTATACTTGCATGGATTCCCCAGAGTGTACCCACCTATTCCAATAGCACAGTAACCAGCATTCATCCCGACATTCACCAGACTTCAAAGCCAACCTTCTTTGGACATTACCTCCAGTAGGGTAATGGCGCCAGTGAAATCTCTCTGCGAAAGCAGATCCTCCAGTTTTGGAATCTTCCTGCCTTTCTTCTTTCTTTTGTCAGTGTGCGGTGACTCCCCGCCCACGGCGGGTTTGGCCCTTGAAAGCATCTGGAAAACCAACAGTAAAGACGGTTCGACTCGAAAGTCTTTTTTTAAACCGAGAGTAAGTAACAGCCCTGTGAATTACAAACCAAATCCTCACCAACAAACACTAGTGAGTCTATTCAGATACTTTTTGAAGACGCATTTTATTAAAAGAGCCATCGCCTCCGAAGGAGACCCAAATAGCTCCTTGCAACTGCTTATCCACAAGAGAGGAACAATTCACGCAGCTTCCCCCATCTCGCTCTTCCCTGGCTCTCTTTCCAGTCCACAAGCAGATCTGGTGTCGGGAAATGGAGAAGCGGGAGGGAGGAGAGCAGCGAGGCTTTTTTTTTTCTTTGCATCCCTCGCTGGTCCCCGCGGAAACCCTGGAGGAATAAAGGGATCGCCCTCTGCACACACTCTGAGATTCCATGCAACACTGTGGTGCGAGCTCTACGCCCGGGGGAGACCTATTCGAAGCCCACCGCCCCCCTTAATATTGTGAGCCACTAACCATCTTGGCGTCGGTCCCGTGAGCCCCTACCGCAGACGGTCGGCAAAAGCTGTGCCGGGGCGAGCTGCCACCTCTACCCAGCCAGCTCCGTCTCCACGGCAACGCCGCCAGGCGGCTGGTCCTCCGAGGACAAGAGCTCGCCGGAGAATCAGCGGCCGCAACCACTTGGTTCCGTGCGTTTCAGCGGCTGGAAGCAGAGATGTCCCTCTAAATGGAGCAGATCCTTGTTTGTGCTGAGGATGAAAATGTGGTTGTGTGCTCTGCTTAGGAATGTATTTTAAGAAAAGGCGACTTAAAATTACTATTGCAATTACGAAGTGCATTTCAGATGCAAGTTTCTTGGGAAGGTGATTTTCAAGGACCACTTCCGTTTTGTCTAAATGGAATTTCCACAGTAGCCCGCTGTCTGGCAATTTGTCTCTGATTTCCGCTGACACTCGCTGGACAGAGGGATAGTTTGGAGGCAGACGTGCTACAAAAAAAAAACAAAAAAAAAACCACCTTTAATACCAAAGATGGGAGGAAAAGACCACAGACCCAAATCATTTCGGCCAAATTAGTTAAAGCAAGCAATTAATTAAAGCAAGTTTATTCGTGCACACAGGCTATCTCCCCGCTAAGGTGGGCTTCCAGAGGTCAGCATTAGATGTGAAGAAGAGATATTTTTTATAGAGCTCAGGGCTAGGAGTTTCCAAATGGAGGATTTGGCAGGCAAAATAATCGGGTTACAGGAGCAGAACATAACAATGATAAGTAATAACAAGTTAGTTTTACGACCTCCTGAAGCAGACACAGTTCCAAGTGGGCATAATAACAGGAAGTCATAACAAGGTGGGCATGTAACCTTTTGAAACAAAGGTGGATTTCAAAACAATTATAAACAACCTTTTGAAACAAAGACATGATTGCCATTCCTGGAACAGGCAGTACAAAACTATTTGTAGTGAAGATTTATTGATAAACAGGAATGAACCTAGTTTGTCTTTACTATAAGATAGCTTTTAAGCCGAAATGGAGGCAGGCTGGTCCTTCAACACACAATTAGAAACTGTAAAAATGCAAGTTGACTGTATTTACTCAAGAACACAGTGTTAACATGAATGATGGGGCTAGAAGGGACCTTAGATGACATCCGGTCACATCTTCAGAATGAACAGACCACTAAAAACCTAAAATCTTGCCTGGCAGTGGTGGCACACACCTTTAATCCCAGCACTCAGGAGGCAGAGGCTGGGGGATCTCTGTGAGTTCCAGGCCAGCCTGGTCTACAGAGCGAGTTCCAGGACAGCCAGGATTGTTACACAGAGAAACCCTGTCTCAAAAAAAAAAGTTCTAAATTCTTATTAATAATTTGGGTGAAGTAGAATAATCATTACATAGTTGAATTACTTTGCTTAACACCCGGAACAGCCCTAAAGACTCACATGTACCATGCATGTGTAGTGTGACTTCTTAGATCCCTTTTCATGGTCATCTTGACAGCCTTAGTTTCTGCTCTCACATCTACAATCTGTTGAAGATTGAATTTGCTGTGGGAATTCTTTCCTCCAATAGCTTTGGGGGACTGGCCTTAGGGCATAGTCTGGGGTGCTACATGAGAACTGAAAAAGCTGGAGTAGGAAGTGAGCTGGCTCTTGCTCTGGCATAGTCAGCAGGATTTTAAAAATGTAATGTATACGTGACTAATAGTAATCTATAATAGCCAAACTTATAGTTGTATTAGTTAGGTTTTCTTGATATACAGAGATGTATTTCAGATAGATAATCTGCAAACACTTCAAAGAACTACAGAATATGGCATTTAAAATGTTTTTAAAACTTAGGTTTTTTTCATGAAAATGAGACATCTGCTCCTGGCAACACCAATCTACTTCAGAGAAGATTATGGGCAACAAAGAAACTCAATGTGGAGTTTGTTTTCTTTAGGTAAAAACTAATCAAATGGGCAAGAAACTGCTGTTGCCTGGAAAGCTTGACTGTATGCTGTGCAAACTGGAATGGGGGACCCACAGGAGCATGGCTGCTAGACAAGATGGGACAGCACTTCAGGGTGTGTGCTTCACAAAGGAAACCGCTGAACATTCTGCAGGACACGGAAGAATGCAACTGACACACTTCGCCAGTACAAGGCAGAACAGATCTTCAAATTTCCTGCTTCACTGAGAAGTCTATCAGACACTCTAGGCCTATAGGTGAAGATGGATGCCCCAACATTGCAGAGGAACTTTAGGTGACTGTCCAGGCAGCCAGATGTCTCTGTCATTTGTAAGATTTTGGAAGCTGCTTACAATGTACTTCCTCTTTACTTAGGTAATATTATATCCTACTGGGGTCTTTGATGGAGTTGAAAACAGATAGTTTTCCTTAGTTATTGCAAAAGATAAATTAGGTATAAAACTTTAGACTCACAAAGACAGGATAGATGATAGAGTATTTTCTTTAATTTCGCCAAATGCAAATAGACTAAATATTATTTTGGGTTGTTTATTTTTTTTCCAGACAGGGTTTCTCTGTGTAACAGCCCTGGCTGTCCTGGAACTCCCTTTGTAAACCAGGCTGGCCTCCAAATCACAGAGAACCACCTGCCTCTGCCTCCCAAATGCTGGGGTTAAAGGCGTGTGCCACAACCGCCTAACAAGTATTCTCGGACTTTTTTGAAGGATGTGGCAGTGCACGAAGACCTGGCCCCAATTCCCAGCCTTCAACCATTCTCACCTCAGGCTTTAACCTGCACTGAAGGGGCTCTGTGCATCACTGTGGAACCTCATTCAAGCTTCAGGCATTCATTATCCTAGAATCTGTCATAGTCTTATGGGGCTTAAGGGAAAACACCCAGAGCAGAGCACCACTCAAGTGTGCAAACAGACTAGAAGTTTCATGGGTACAGATCCACTATTCTAAACGGCATGGTATAAAGTGCAAGAACTCAGCACTGTAAAAAACTTTCTCTCTAGTTTAGCACACAGTCAGTGTAGAACCCAGAGAGGGCTCTCTTACTATGGTCTAAATTCAGCCTTACCAATCACGTTGAATGCCACCCCATTAACTTACTAAGTCAGTTTAAATGATCCTATTTCTGAAAGTTTGTAGTACTGCTTTATATCTCTGAGTCCTTGCAGAGACTGTTTGAGACATGACAAAGGACAGGCTATGGCCTGAGTGTACTTGAGAAGTTCTTCTCAACAACAGCTCTGAGAATCACACGTGGTATTATAAAACATGATAACATCAGCACAGGAAAGTGGTTGCTGGGGTGAGAGACAAAGTCAGAGTTTGCAGCTTTGTTATGGTTGGGAGAGAACAGCAGATTCTATATTGTGGGGACTGATGTAGGACCATGTATCTTTACCCAAACCACTGGAGTGTACAACTCAAGTGAATATAAGTATGTATGTAAAGTGCATCCCATGAAATCTGATTTTGATTGTTTAAATGGTAATCTAGTTTTGAACTCAAGGCAGTAGTCTCTTAAAGATTATTTATTTTGCCGGGCAGTGGTGGCGCATGCCTTTAGTCCCAGCACTCGGGAGGCAGAGGCAGTCGGATCTCTGTGAGTTCGAGGCCAGCCTGGTCTACAGAGTGAGTGCCAGAATAGACTCCAAAGCTACAGAGAAACCCTGTCTCAAAAAACAAAAACAAAAACAAAAAACAACAAAACAAACAGTGCATTAAATCACAAGGCGGCACTGCTACACACCCCAAAGTAGTGGCAGTCAAGCTGTGAGCCTGGGTTTGTCACATGATGTCTTGCTTCAGGCTGAAAACGCCCTTTCCAAGTGGTTCACCACATAGTGAGCTGATGGGGGTGTCCTTCCGTATGCTGTAAGCAAGAGATTCCAGCATCACCTGTAAGCCAAGACCATGTAGAGATACACAGATGAATAGAAATGGGTTAATAATTGAAAGAGAGCTAGCCAATAAGTATCCTGAGCAATAGGCCAAACAATTTATAATTCATATAAGCCTCTGTGTGTTTATTTGGGACTAAACAGCTCCAGGACTGGGTGGGACAGAAACTTCCCTCTACAGTAGGCAATTTAGAAATGTCTGTCAGTGGGAGAGCTTAGTTACTCACCACATGGACCTTTACATAGGATGACTAGAGTGTCTACATCATTTGAAAGTTGGCTTCCTGTGGGGCCCGTATATTGGAAATCTATCCCATCCCACCTTTAGTTGATTACTTAAGATGATGCATGAATAAACTGGGTGCGTTCAGAATGGACTGAAACTGCCCTCCTGACACTATCCTATGTCTCTGTCTTTTCTTTAATGTCTATAGCTAGCCTTCCCTCATCAACACTCCCTGCCTCAGGAATGGACCCACGGCTGTTTGGCTGGCCCCCGATTGCAGCCCAAAAGACCCTGGTCTGAGACAGCTTCCCCAGAGGTAGGGAACAAAGAAGAAGCCACAATGTTCTTATGAACTAATTTAGCAGTATGGTGTCATTTCAGATTACTCAGGTCACTCAGTCAGCTTAGAAGGAGACCACTCAACCGTGCAGGTAACTGCAGACAAAACTCACCAGGAGCCAACTGGCTATTTGCTCTAGGTATCAAGTTAATCAAGGATGCAAACTGAGAGACCCAGGCCCTGGGAAAATCTCTGATCCACAGCCCTGAACGGCTAGGCTCCAAGCCCCAACCCAGTGAAAGAAACACATCCTGGATTTGGGACTCGAGCCAGTGAAAGAGACACTTTATCCATAGAGCCAGGGGCAAACACTCTAACTTGGGCTGGAGAGATGGCTCAGTGGGTAAGAGCAGTGTCTGCTCTTCCAGAGGTCCTGAGTTCAATTCCCAGAAAGCACATGGTGGCTCACAACCATCTGTAATGAGATCTGGTGCCCTCTTCTGGCCTTCAGGCAGAACACCATATGCATAATAAATAAGTAAACTAATTAATAATAAATAAATAAATAAATAAATAAATGACATCCTAATTCAGAAACTAGCACCAAAAGAACGAAGAACGAACTTGGACCCTAGATTCAGGTCTCTAAAAGAAATTCGCCTAGGCCCTAAAAATGGAGCCAGAAAGCCAAAAAGAACCATAGTAAAAACACAGTTTGGCTCTGGAGTCAGAGCCATCTCTCTGCCCCTGACCCAAAACTAGCCAATCCATGAGCTGGAAAAACTGACCAAATCCCAGGCC